TCTGGTTTTCTTTCCATGTTACCAACTATATCTTTTGTGAATGGGAAAGCTTTTACCCAATCTTTCAGTCTTGCGTCGTTTATTTCTGTAGTTGGTTTATTTTGTCAAGGAACATGTTTTTCAATACTAACATTTCATTTGGTACTGTCCATTTGAGTTTTCTTAAATATTCATCCCTTCTCGGTTCATTGTCTGCAAAGTAAGTTTTTATGACATTTTGTAAACTTTCGTTTGCAAGGTCATGTACAATAGGTTCTCTTCCTTCGCTCTCCCTAACTTTCTTTCTAAACTCTTCACCAAATATACCATCTCTATGGTTCTGTGTAGTTCTTTGAGATAAATGTTCTAGAACGTCAGGTGTTATATTTCCATCAGCCATGTTCATTTCATACTGGTCCAAAATATCTGCATGTTTTATCTTTCAATGGCATTAAAGCCGCGCTTAAAATACCAGCTATATCTGGTTCACCATTGACTTCCATTGCGTCTACAACTTCTTGGAATTGAGGTTGTAAGTTTATGAACCACCTATCCGGGTTAGCTTTATGACCCCATCTCATTGTAGTTCCATCGTCTGCAGAAACAAAAGTAGGTTTGTTTCCATCTTGGTTAGGTTCTGAATGAACTTTAAACAATGTTTCATTTCTATATGTTTTCTTGAAATTTAACCTTTTATTTCACCGAGTTCATCCGAAGATTGAACGTTAAATGCTCGTAAGTAAAAAGGGTTGTTGTATTTGTGTACATTTTTTTTCAGTTCTTCCATTCTATGCTGAATATTTTCATCTGGTGCTGGAGTCTTTTGTATGTCGGCAAACATTTTTCGATATTCTTCTACTATGTCAGCCGAATTTTTTTTAGACTCTTGGAAAGATTCCATATTCACCTCATACTCTTGTTGAGGGTCAAGATTTTTCGGCTGTTCCAAATCTTCATCTAGTTCTGTGAAGTTAGTTTCCAAAGGAGGGACTTGTTCGTTTCCTTCAGGCTCTTCTAGCTGTTGTTGCTGAACTATTTCTTCCATGTCTGGTTGTATCTGAACTATTTCTTCCTGTGGAGTTTCTTGTACTCATCTGCTGGCATTTCATATATTCCGAGACCGTTTTCAACAATTTCCCTATCTACGTCATCCGCATTCATAAGCCTTTGTTCTTTCGTTCCGTCTCCTTTTTTTACGCGTTTCATGACGAAAGTTGAATTGTCATTTAGCTCTGACATCAAATATCTCGGAGTAAATTCGTTCATGTCATTTGGATGATATGCTATTAAATCATATCCCTTAGCGAGCTTGTATTTTCCAGGTTTGAGATTATATCCGTTTTGGTGCTGAGCCATAAAGCTAAATAGGTTCGGGTCAGTATTTCCATCCTTGAACTTTCCAATAGCTTCTTTATATCTGTCACTAAAGTCAACAGTATCTGGGAAACCACACTCTTCTTTAAGCATTTTTAAGAATTCTTGGTTTCCTTGTTCTCTACTTCTTTTATGTCCTTGCTCTGTTTGTGGTTGTTGTTGTGCAGGGTTTTGAACTGTTGGTTGCTGTGCAGGGTTCTGAACTGTTGGTTGCTGTGCTGGTTGTGGAGGTGGTTGTTGTGCAGGGTTTTGAACTGTTGGTTGCTGTGCAGGGTTCTGAACTGTTGGTTGCTGTGCTGGTTGTGGAGGTGGTTGTTGTGCAGGGTTTTGAACTGTTGGTTGTTGTGCATGCCTGTGTCTGTGTCCATGTGACGATGTAAATGTTTTAGGTAGTCCTGGTGCAGGTGCTTCTCTTGGAGGGTTTGGTGGTATATAAGTTCCACCAGCTGGCACATATGTTCCATCTGCAGCGTAATGTCCTACCTGACTTTTCGTTTTTAAGAAAGCATTTACTAGGTCTGTTTTGGTCTGTTGTAACTCTTTTTCTTGACTTTTCACAACAGTTGCTCTAACGGCGTCATAGGCACTTTGAACTGCCTGTCTCGTTGCTGCATCTGTTATTTTCGTCATATTTTGTGCTACTTCTTTTAACTCTTTGTCGAAACCTTCAGACTTCAGTTTCTTTCCAGATGAGAAGTCGTTCACTTGTTTCACCTTACTATGAAGAGCTTCGAAAGCGTTCTTAAAGTCAGCATTTGTTAAAGCTTCATTTGAACTATCTTCATCCGCTTGTATTTTTGTCCTTATTGACCCTATGAGTTGGGCTGCTTTAGCGTTGGCTTGGGCATCTAACCAGTCATTGTTAGCTTTTATATATTCTGCGCTTTTCATTGCCTTTTGCATGGCTGCGTCGTTATTTTTACTTTCTTGTGCTAAGTTTTCATACTGTACGGTTTGGTTTTGCAACTGTAAAAGTTTTTCTGCCTTTACATTTGCTTCAACTTCTTTTTTATACTCATCGCTATCCATATATGTCTTCAGGGCTTTTTGTTTTATCTCTTCATCTTTCAGTATTTTATATTGAGTAGTATGGTTTTTCAAATTTATGACATCTTGTTCCATTTTTGCTACTTCTGCTGCTTTTTCTGACACTTTTTTCGCATATTCCTCTGTACTTAGTTCTTTCAGTTGTTCTTCTTTCTTCTTTTTCTCTACGTTTAACTCATTGAGTTTCTTTGTGTGTCTGTCATATTCTAGTTTCTTTTCGTTTTCACTTATTTGCTTCTGTATGTCTATGTTTGACTTTTTGACATCTGTTATTTGATTTTTGAGTGAACTCAAATTCATTTGACTTTGAGGGTTATAGGCTGTTCCGTCTGCAGCTCCACCATAGCCTGCCATTTTCGCTAAAAGTGCCGCTCTTAAACCTCCACTCTGTGCACCAACAACTCGGTTTAAAAGCATAGGATTGCTTGACATTTGTTGCAACATAGTGGGGTCATTCAGCATTTGTTGTTGCAACTGTTGTTGTGGTGTCAGTTTTACTATTGGATGTTTCAATGCTCTCTTCCTCTTACGTATATTCTTACGTAGCTTACGTGGCATTTTAAGTGAAGTTAAAAAGCGGTTTTTGACAGATGTTTTATTGTGACTTCTTCGTAAAGACTTTGTTGAGATTTCTTCGTAAATGAGTGTAAATGACCAAAAAATAATGTTTATGTTAGAATGTTAGATCTAACACCTTTTCTAACATGTTTTCTAACATCGTAGAAAACTCATGAATTTCTTCGTAAAGACTTTGTTAAGACTTCTTCATCTAATTTCTCATGAACTTTCTTGTCTATGTTTTGTTAAGATTTCTTCGTAAATGTTTTGTTAAGATTTCTTCGTAAATGTTTTGTTGAGATTTCATCGTAAATGACCCTAGTAGTATATTTTTGGTGTAAATTTCATGAAAATTCAAGAGTTTTAGACCATGTTAGAAAACATGTTAGAAAACATGTTAGATCTAACATTCTACCCTAAAATATATTTTTGGTGTAAATTTCATGAAAATTCAAGAGGGTAGAAAAGAGGTTAGAAAAGAGGTTAGATATACCCTTCTACCCTAAAATATATTTTTGGTGTAAATTTCATGAAAATTCAAGAGGTTAGAAAAGAGGTTAGATATACCCTTCTACCCTAAAATATATTTTTGGTGTAAATTTCATGAAAATTCAAGAGGGTAGAAAAGAGGTTAGAAAAGAGGTTAGATATACCCTTCTACCCTAAAATATATTTTTGGTGTAAATTTAATGAAAATTCAAGAGTTTTAGACCATGTTAGAAAACATGTTAGAAAACATGTTAGATCTAACATTCTAACATAAACATTATTTTTGGGTCATTTACACTCATGAACTTTCTTGTCTATGTTTTGTTAAGACTTCTTCGTAAAGACTTTGTTAAGACTTCTTCGTAAATGTTTTGTTAAGACTTCTTCGTAAATGTTTTGTTAAGACTTCTTCGTAAATGTTTTGTTAAGACTTCTTCGTAAATGTTTTGTTAAGACTTCTTCGTAAATGTTTTGTTAAGACTTCTTCGTAAAGACTTTGTAAAGACTTCATTTATACTCATTCATCCTCAGGGCTAGAAGGCACGAAGTGCCTGGAAGCCCCACTCCCTTTTTTTTTTTTTTTTTTTTTTTTTTTTTTTTTTTTTATATGATTGTTAATTTTTTTTTTAAGGGTGCACTGTAATCGGTTTGACACTCCCACTTTTTTTCCTTGGTCTCGAGATATTTTTCCATGATTTTTATGGATATGATATATGGTCATATAGTGATATATGATCAATCAAAATATTTAAAAAATATTTACTCAATATGGAAATATAAGAAAAAAAGTTTAGCCTTAAACCCCAATTGATCGAAATTGATGGCTTTGGCAAACCGACTACGGAGTCAAATCCCCGCTCACAAAAAGTGGACTTTACATGTCAAATTTTATATGCATGTAATGTCCACTTTTATGAGTTTTAGGAAGGAATTGGAAGCCATGAGTTACTGACATTGCATTAGTATCTCATAGCCTCCAATTCCTTCAAAAAATGGGAGAAACTTTGTCCGAATAGTTTAACATTCGGACAAAGTTTCTCCCATCTTTCAATGTAATTGCTACCTGTGAGGTACTGACTTGAAGTCAGTGCTTCACAGGTAGCAATATCCAAAAATTTAAAAACATTTTATCAGTTCGTTAGAGAACTAGAGCCTCCTAGGTACTGAACCAGAATCAGTGCCTAGGGGACTCTAGTGATCTATATAAATCTGAGAAACTTTGAGGAAATTGTTCGACATTTCCTCAAAGTTTCTCAGCAATTTAGCGAGGAATGTTCGTTATCGTGTAGATATTTATAATATATACATGATAACAAACATTCCCCGCTAAAAGATGTAAAATCTTATAAGAAATAATTGCAAAAGAATAACAAATTGCAACAAATTTTATATGAAACTGAACCTTATGAGGTAGTGATTCAAGATCACCGCCTCATAAGATTCAGTTTCAATCTCAAGTATCTCAAAAGTAAGGCTCTATTTTTTGCCATGTAAAGTGTCACTTTTTCTGTCAAACCGTTTTTATCGTTTTCGTTTACAACAGTGCACCCTTAATGTCCGGTCAAGACATTCTTCCAAATAAATATAGTGAATTGAGAAGTATCTACAGATACTATATCGATTGCTACATTGCATTGTATCAGTTAAACACGAAAAACGAAAAAGAATTAAACACGATTTACACAATGATCAAATCAGATTTAATTGATTCAAATAAACGTCATCCTTATAATGTTGTAAAAGATATTTTAAGTATTATCCCGTTTAGAAACAGCTATACAAAGTCATACTTGAAACTTGCGAAACAATTATCAGATGATTATCAAATAACAGTAGTCACAGATATTCCAACTATTTCCAACTACTTGTTTTATAAAGAATATGGCATTATTTTAAACAAGAATACAGAATTCAAAAAAATTACATCAGAGAATTTGGAGTTTCATACAAAAGATACGATTTACAGAGCAATTATGGATAATAACCTAGAAAGCTTCATCACATTCACTGAAAGAGATGGATTTGATAAAAAGCAAACACTTAAAAGCAGTTTATATCCTTATTCTAATAATGGATATTCATTACTTGAATTATGTTGTTACCACGGAGCTGTTGATTGTTTCAAGTTTTTAAGGACAAAATTTAACACAAAAATAACTCAAAAATGTTTGCAATTTTCATTTTTAGGAGGAAATCCAGATATCATGAGTGAATGTTTGAAATATCAAAAGCCAGATAAAGAATGCATGGAATATGCAATTATTTCGCACAACATTGATTTTGTTACATTCTTGATGAATGAACACAATATGAAGATCGATTTAACTTTTTGTTCCAAATATAATAATCTTGATTCGTTTTTAGTTTATTTCGATCAAACTAAAAAAGTTAACAAATGCTTTATTAATTCTATAAGATTCTTTATTCCATCACTTTGCAAATATTTCCTTTCGGATGGTGCAAACATCAATGAAAAAGATAAAGATGGATACACTTCTCTTCATATTGCGGTACTTAATAACTATAAAGAAATAGTCGAACTTCTTATTTCACATGGTGCAAATATCAATGAAACAGATAACATGGGTAAAACTGCTCTTCATTATGCAGCAGCAAAATTTTGTGGTAAAGAAACAGCCGAACTTCTTATTTCACATGGTGCAAATATCAATGAAAAAGATAATGATGGATACACTGCTCTTCATATTGCGACGCATTATAATCGTAAAGAAACAGCTGAACTTCTTCTTTCACATGGTGCAAATATCAATGAAAAAAGTCACAGCAATAAAACTGCTCTTCATTTCGCAGCAAAAAAAATAATCGTAAAGAAATGTTTGAACTTCTTATTTCACATGATGCAAATATCTATGAAACAGATAAAAATAGAGAAACTGCTCTTCATTATGCAGCAAGAAATAATAATAAAGAAACAGTCGAACTTCTTATTTCACATGGCGCAAATATCAATGTAAAAGATATATATAGAAAAACTGCTCTTCATCATGCAGTAGAAAATAATCATAAAGAAATTGCCGAATTTCTTATTTCACATGGTGCAAATATCAATGAAAAAAGTCACAGCAATAAAACTGCTCTTCATTTCGCAGCAAAAAAAAATAATCGTAAAGAAATATTTGAACTTCTTATTTCACATGGTGCAAATATCAATGAAACAGATAAAAATGGAGAAACAGTTCTTCATTATGCAGTAGAAAATAATCATAAAGAAATTGCCGAACTTCTTATTTCACATGGTATAAACGTCAATAAAAAGACTTACGGTTATAAAACTGCTCTTCATTTTGCGTCGAAAAAAATAATAAAGAAATAATCGAACTTCTTATTTCACATGGTGCAAATATCAATGAAACAGATAACATGGGTAAAACTGCTCTTCATTATGCAGCAGCAAAATTTTGTGGTAAAGAAACAGCCGAACTTCTTATTTCACATGGTGCAAATATCAATGAAAAAGATAATGATGGATACACTGCTCTTCATTATGCAGCAGCAAATTTTCTTGGTGAAAAAACAGTCGAACTTCTTATTTCACATGGTGCAAATATCAATGAAACAGATAACATGGGTAAAACTGCTCTTAAAATTGCAGTAGAACATCAATATAATCAAATTGCCAAACTTCTTATTTTGCATGGTGCGATATCCGATTTTTAAAATATGCGTGCTATAAATTAGAATTCTCTGTAAAACATCATTTGATTAAGATAACTATGATGATAAAAAAATACTTCATCAATAATGAGTATTTTAAGGTGTACTTACCATTTTCTGACACCTTCTCAACTTATATAATTAATGTCTAACTAAAATATTGTTGTTTTCAATATTTATACAATATCATGCTTTGAACTCTAAAATGTTGTATGGTTGCTTTTGTATGCTTGATGTTCTAACTCACTCCTTTCATGACCAGCAGCCTTAAGTTGTTTTATGCTGGCTAATTCTGCAGGATTTGGTGGAGGAATTGCTTCAACAGTGATCTTTTGCACAATGGTATTATTTATCCCTTTAAAATTGCTTGGTCAGCTGCTCTTGATGCGTAATATATCTTTGTTTGACTTCATAATCTATTTAATAAAAAAAATAATAACTTGATATTGATCTATATCTTAGAGTTATTTGACAATTTCATGACCAAAATACCTTTGAACATTTGAATCAAAAAAAAATAATCGTAATCAATGAAATTTGATTTTTTCATAACTTTACCCATAGTGTTGATAGAAATAATATGATGAGAAAAATACTACTAGCTCATATCACTCAATGGATCCTTAATATGTTTCTGGTGTATCTTGAAATATTGAGTTTATTTGTATAGAAAAATATCAAAATTTTAAAAATATTATTTCCAAAATTCATTGTATTGTATATAATGGAATAATACAACTTTAAAGTATTTTGTTCTTGAAGGATTTTAGAATCAGCAACATAATAAATTTGGAGATATTGCAAAAATTAAATTTTCAGAATTTGAATCCAATTACTTTTTCAAAACGCATTCGCATTAATTTAGAAAATTATAATTTATGACATTTGAGCTAAAAAGCTCAAATTTAACTATAAATGCAATTCCATTATTTCATTCAATACAACATACCCTGATAATATTTCTCATCAACAGCAATATTGTATCAGTGTAAGTAGAGAATAAAAAGTTTTAAATTTGAATTTTAATCGAGGTATTCAAAATTTGAGAGAATTGAGATTTCACATAAGAATCTAATCGCGGTATTCAAAGTTTAACCTCCTGATTAATTCCACTTGATAGTGGAATATAATTATCGAATATTTATGTCCAGAACTATCATTTTTCGCTTAACAATTGAAAGGTTATTTATTGTGAGATTTACAAAAAGGATATTCATTCAATCTCGAGGTTATTTTTTCAGTTTTATCCAAATAAAAATTTTAAAAAATTAAATTCTGTTCATGGCAGCATATAACGATAAAAAAATGAATAAAGATTTTCATTCAAAATTTTGAAAACTGTTTTCATTTAAAATATAAGCATAATGGGTCTAAACTATGTACGAGTTATCAGTGTTGGAGCATCAATCTTAACCCAGATGGTCATAGGATTTGCAATTGTCAAACTTAACCTTTTCAAAGCCAAAAAGATTTCAATGTTGAATAAGTTTTGCTTTTTATATATGTTCTACCCACTTGTGTTGAGATTTCTTGCTCATCAAAAAGTTTCTGACCTTAATTTCAAGCCTTTTGGTGTTATGGCAGTTTCTTCTCTACTTTCTCAAGTTATTTTAACATTAATTATGCTAATTCCTTTTAAGAATCGATTAGTTCAATATGTTTCATCATACTTTCCATCAATATTCGTAAATTACGCTGTTGTTGGCATCCCCATTTTGGCTTCATTGTGGCCAGATGCTGATATCGTTATAGTTTCAATGATATCATTGAGCAATGATTTAGTAACAGTTCCAGTATATCTCATAGAATCAAGAATTGTTTCATTAATCAACAGAAATAAAATGCATATTGAAAAGGATGAGCCAACAGAGAAATTTTCGTTCAAAATCATTCTCGACCTCCTCAAAAGTTTAGCAACTTCTCCAATTATATTAGGTGACCTTTCAGGTTGCATCGTTGCAGGTATTGGAAGGGGTGTTCCTGAGTATATTGAAAGAATCCTTAAAATTGTTGCAGATGGGGTTTTAGGTATATCACTTATTGCTGTAGGAGGATTTTTAGCATCACATTCTGTTATCGCATGTTCTTGGTGGAAATTTTTATATTGTATATTTATTAAGTTCATATTTTTCCCAGCTGTTGTTACCTTTATTTCTTTAGCCTTCAAGTTCACCCCATTCTTGGGAAGATGCTGTATACTTATGTCAACTTTACCTTCAGCTTCAAGTTGCTTTATGATGGCTGATTCTGCAGGATTTGGTGGAGGAATTGCCTCGACAATGATCTTTTGGACAATGGTTTTATTTATTCCTTTCTTATTAGCTTGGTCAGTTGTTCTTGATGCCTTGAAACTGTTTGTTACGGATTAAATTAATAAAAATATTATACTATAAATATATATAAATTTAAATATTGTTTAATGCTGCTTAAGTCAGACCAAAGTGATTATCTAGCTTTAGATTTGTAATGTAAAAAAATTGTTTGATACTATTTGAAATAAACGCTAATAAAGAAAATAAAAAATTTTTAAGATATACAAACAAAATAAAAAAATATAAATAAGTATTTCAATCTACTTGTCTCATTGGATAATATTTAAACCAATCCATGAAATCGTCTATATCTATTTTATAATTGATATTATATGATATCGTATAGTACCTAAACAATGTTTGTCCAAGCATTTGAGAATTTGAATAAATACACATATTTCCAAAAGTGGAAGAAGGATAAGTTCCATCCATTTGTATTGGAAGCAACTCCACGACAACAATATCTTTTCCTCCAAGGAATGCGTTGTAGAAAGCGCCTCCATGAGGTCCAATAACAATCTTTGCCGAAGAAAACAAATCTCTAAGTTTTTCAAAATTCCTATAATCATCTTTGTTGAAAACAATAATGTTTTCACGTCCATAAATTTTAGAAAGAGGTTCGACTAAGTCTATGAGATTATCTATAATTCTTTCACCTTTTCCTCCAAATATTCCTCCTCTCGGCAATAATATTATTTTATCCCTTTTCAATTCCGGCAAATCCATTAAACTCGTGAACCAATCGAAATACCATGGATGACAAACTCTCACGACAGCAGCCAATATCAATCTTTTCGCGCTAACACGAACACCCTTGCCTTGGCACGTGACTTGGCTCTTGTATCCCATATGATCTTGCATCTGGTGTACCAAATTTCCGCATGCTTGTGTATATATTGTCACGTCTTTCGGAGACAAACCAGTTGTCAAAAGGGAAATTGCGTTGTGAGGTTGCGCGTTGTCATAGAAATGCTGGTATAAATCTATATAGTGGCCAGCATTAACTATTACTGCTCCATCTATTGAAGGGTTTGAAACTTGTTTTGGCCATTCACAGAAGTTTAAATGATGAGAAGAATTCGATTTCCGACAATTATCTGAATTTGTCAATTGTGCTTCACCGTTTTTGATATCCCAGCTTACGCTTACGTGCCATTCACGGGTATCGGAAAAAGAGATGATATGCTCTTTGTTCTTCCAGAAAAGATACTCAAGCTCTGGAACTAAACCGTAAGGACGATCTAATCCTGATGGCGGTAAAAAAAGAAAGTTTTCATTCATGAAACCGGATGAAAATTGTAATATGTAGAATATATGGCCTGAATTTTCGACATAATGGTATGATTTAGTTGCAGAAAAATTATGAGGTACTTCAACTCCGTAATAAACCTCTAGATTGTGGACACCTGACTTGTGTGCATTGAAGTTGATCTTGTAGTCCATTTTATAAAGGATAGCTTCAATTGCTTGTTGGTCAGAATTATATAAATTAAAATTTATGTATTTTCCTTTAGTTTCTTCTAATATTTTTTGCCTTGTGATGGCCATTCGTAATTTGAAGGTATGTTGATGCTTTGAATTGAGGGATTTCGGTGTTTGAAAGGATCTGTATTATTGATATCTCTATATTTTCTTGTTGTAATGTAAGGATTTGAGCCAGAGTAAGTAATCTGAGTGGTATTTCCGAAAGGCTCATTACCAGGATATTCGGTATTAAGCGCTGTATTGTTAAAAGGTAGTGCAGTTGTATCTTTTATCGAAATTATTTCGAGTGAAGCTTTGTATTTGATCTTATCAAATCCGTTTATTGCCAAAAATATTGTTGCTGCAGTTCCTAAGATTAAAGCCATCATATTCCATAGGATTTCTCTAATCATTGTCTTCTTTGGAGGTGGGATGTATTCTTCCCACATAACGTCGTTCATTTGGAGAAATCCTTCAAATTTATCAAATTTCTGATGATTTATTATTTTAACCTTAAATAGCGCCAAATTGTGAAGAAATAGAAATCTCTCAACAGCATATTGGAAACATCTACTATGCTCTGAAAGCATTGTTCCAGTAGAAAATTTCTCGATGAGCAAGTTGGATCTGCTCAAACTTTCTTCGCAAACGCCATTCACGGCACAGACTACTTCAAGAAGATGTGTGATATCAAACCAATGTGGAACGAAGAGATGAGAAAACTCCTTACAGAGTATGGAGGCGAAATCTACACAAACGCACCAACATTGGTTCCATATGTATAGGTTGACTTGCATTATAAAGAAGCTGCTGAAAAAGCAACATAGCTTGGTATTCTTTTAATTTGTAACACTTTAAAAATTCAAAGTTTTTCAAACTGAAAAATCCTCTCGAATTTGATGTATTTTCTGGGTCATTGTTTGTGGGGGTTATGATCCCTTTGCTGGAAGATCCGGAAGCTAATACAGAGACTGATGAATTCTACAAAGGGATAGAGCAAGACATGGATAATATTTACCTTGCATATTCGTCCAAAAGTGTAGGTATTGAAGAATTCAAGAAACTTCGAATTCACATCGATAATAAAATGAGTAAAAAGGATAAATTGAATAAGGGGAAATATATATTATGGAAATATTTTGCAGATCATTTAGACAATCTAGTTCTTTCAAAAGAAAACATTGATGATCTTGTTAATCAAACAAAGCTTGATCGTATACAAGTGAGAGATTTCTTTAAAAACCAAAGATCGAGGTGTATTAAACCTATTATTGAGCAAATGCAAAAAGATATTGTACAGCTTACAGAGGAAATATCTTCATCTGATGAATCGATTGAAGGATATTTACAGAAACTATCTTCAAGAACTACGACAGAAAATAATATAGCAATAGATATTGAATAGGAAATTGAAAAGAAAGTATAGTAGATTAAGGGTGCACACGAGATGATCATGTAAACTTCAGAATTTAGAACCTTATTTTTAGGCATTATCTTGGCTACCTATTTAGGCTCGAAAAGCAAAAAATATCAAAAAATACAACTTGACTCCATTATGACCCTTTCATGGAGGTAGTTTTTATCCGCTAGTATTTTCCCTTTGAATCTCTTTACAATTCGAAATCAAATTCAAATCTCAGTAGAAGAAAGGAAGAATCGACTTACTACGGTTGTAATACGAATAAATACATATATTTAATTATTTTTATTTACATAATAATTGTTTGAAGCTCATATTCCAACAAATTTTTAAATAAAAACATTAAAATGTTGAAAATGTTCATATATTTTAATAGGGTTTTGGCACTTTATTGAGGAATTACTACATACATAGTCGAACTGAACTTGATATTTTGAAATTTAAATTATTTATCAAAATTAAAATTTAACTTGAAATTTATAATTATTTAGTCATATTTTGCATAATTCTAAGTAGATTTTGTAAAAAATCAAGAAAGAAAAATTTTAACGTGCTTTATTTTTTCTTTTTTATAATAATACATATTATTATATAATTAACATATTCATAATGTTTCACCCTTTCAAAAATATAATCCTTCTCCTCTCAAATAAACGTACATACGGGTGGCCTCTTTTTTCAAAAAATTAAAATTTGAAATTTTGGGCTCAAATATTAGAGATTTTTTCAACCTTCAACGATATATGTTGTCTATATCAGACCTCCTTTCTTTTTGATACTTAACATTGTTCCTAAATCTTAGCCGTTAAGGCTGTTCTGAAAATATTTTTTTTCGAAAAATTCGAAAAAAATTCTTAAAATTCAAAAATCCCTTAATTCCTGAGGATTTTGGAAAAAAGTTTTTACATGAACATGTGTATATTATATGAAGTATATTGATAAGGTAAAAATCAAATTTTATTGCATATTCATCGAGAAAATAAACTAACGAATCCCTCAAAATTGAGAGGGTAATCCTCCTCCTCTCAAATAAACGTACATACGGGTGCACCCTTAAATAATTCTTATTCCCGAAATAGAAAATCTCATTTTTAATTTTTGAAATTTTGGAATTTTGATTTATCACGTTTTAATACTTGAAAAATAATTAAGATATGTAATCAACATTCCATTTTCACAAAAGTAATCTTATTTTTCAGATCATTATTTTTTTTTGAAATGCAAGATACTTATAAAGTATTGATTTTAGGAGATGCAAAATGTGGTAAATCTGCGTTGGTAGATAGTATATAACCAGTTCTTGGAAGAATACTTTCCTTCTATTGGTTACAATGAAGTCGAATATCCTGTAACAGAAATGGCCGGATCAAAAAGCATATCCCTAAAATTTGTTGAATTATCATTCAATGAAGAATATGGTGATATTTTACCTAAAGCATATAGAGATTCTTCAATTGTAATTTTCGTATGTTCATATGATTCTCAACAATCGCTCAATGTTCTCAAAGAAAAGATTTACCCTTTCATATCAGAAAAGCTTGGCCAACAAAACTTCTTACCTTTCTTAATAATGACAAAATCTGATATTTTAGACAGCACAGACCAAGTAGATTTACATGATTTTCAATTATTCGCTGCTAAAATTGATACACAGCCTGTGATGGTCAGTGCAAAAACGAAATTTAACATTTCGGACATCATTAATTTTTTGAGGATCAAAATACTCGAATATTATGATAATAAGAACAAAGAAAAGCGTATCAATACAGTTGAAAGCCTCAAATCAGTTGCAATAGAATCTCCAAAGAAAGATTCTAAAAAAGAAGAAAAATCTTGTTTGTTAATATAAACACCTATCTTTATAACTGCTTGTTTCTAGTACAAATTATTATGAATATGTTTTTATTCCAACTATAGATTTATCTTTTATGTTTTCTATTTTATTGATGAAATCATTGTAAAAATAATGCAGACATCAAAATATGTGGGGTAGTATTAGGAGTTTAATCATTAAAATCCTTCAAAATAGAATTTCAATCGAAAATTAAGAAAAGATATTGATAAAGTTATTAGGTTTGAGGTACATTAATAATTGGGATAGATGAAAGGATTCCAGAAGATAGTTTATTATAAGGCATTTTAAAATAATTCCGTAAGCATCTGTCAAATGTTGATGAAGAAAAAATCAAAAGATATTTTCAGAACAAAAATGGAGATGGGGGAAATCGAACCGCCGGCCTCAACTATGCTAAAGTCGCACTCTACAACTGAGCGACACTCCTGACAATTTATTTGTTGTAGTTATTATAAAATATATAAAAAATAAAAAATATAAGATTGTGGAGTTTAGTAAAATCGGATCGGATATAATTTATGCAGTATATACATGGTAAGTGGAGGTAATATCATTCTCCAGTTTATACTTGTCAATTACCCATATTAATTTTTATTCAATCTTATTTACGATTTCAAATGTTTTCATCTTTACATGCATATGTAGACATTAATACAAATATATATTTTGTATTGCATCCGATTTAAAATAATGAATGTTCAAGAATTGAACTGATCAAATTGACCAAAGTGTAAATTTTATGGGTTCAAGTATTTTTCCTTTTCTTTCAATAAAAGAAAAAGGAGAAAATAATGGTTATTTTGTTATTCGTATCGAGTTTGACAAATTTTTTGAAAATTCAAAAATATTAATGAATGTAAGTGATTGGAAGATAAAAAATTTCAAATGCGGTTTGAGATATAAACGGCAGAAAAATGAGAGATATATAATCGACGTTCATTGAAAATTGTGAACTGTCAAAATTAATTTTTCCAAGGAAAAGTTACGTCCATAAGAGAATGTCCCTTCTAAATTACATTCATGACCTTATTTTTGCTGAGGAAAAATATTTTTTTATGGATTTCTTTTGCTTGTATTCTTAAAAACGTCCATTGGAAATTTGATAAATAATTTATCATCTACTATATATAAGACTCTTATATTTTAATTTTCAACCTAGGTCACGACGATTATTCTTTGTGAACTAAACCAAAATTGGTTGTCCACTTCACTTTATAATGTCCATCACAGGCATCGCCATTGACGACAGCTGCATCCAGGCTTGGGAAGAAATCAAGATCAAGCACCTCTACCGTTATATCATCTTCGACTTCACAAAGGATCTTAAGAAGGTTATCGTTTCCAAGAAGGCTGACCGCAATGCTACATATGATGATTTCCTTGATGATCTCCCACCAAAGGATGTTCGCTATGCAGTTTACGATTATGATTTCAAGGCTGATGATGGCACAGACCGTAACAAGCTTGTTTTCGTTGTTTGGGGCCCAGACGCTGCTCCAGCTCGTAGGAAGATGATCATCACCGGCACAAAGGCTGGTCTCAAGGCTGCCCTCTCTGGCATCTCCATGGAGTTCCAGGCCAACGATGACTCTGATATCCAGGAGTCTGAAATGAGAGCTAAGTGCGTTTCTTCTGCATACTAAAACCGAGTTTTATAACGAATATTACAATTAATATCCTTTTTTAAATCTTTTCTTGTTCATTTTACGAATTGTTAATTCGTTGTTTGGTTTGTTAATTATTACACCAAATAGCTTCCTTTAATATATTCAAACAACATATTTACAGCAAACATCTCAACGAATGACTTTTTTGGAATTTACATAATTCCGAGAGAACTGCCTTTATGCCATATCTGTATACCTGATTTGTATGGGTTACAGTTGTTATTAATATAAATTAATCGTTGTCATTCAGCTCCTTATTGATTTTGTAACGGAATCATCAAGCAGAATACGGAAAGAAGAATTATCTCAAGGGCAAAATGACCTTAATTAAGTAATTTCTGCATACTGTAGACGCGTTTAAAATGTCATAATTAATTTTTCAAGAATCAACTTTGGCCGAGACATAAATGGAGTATCGAAGAATGTTATCTTGATTCTGTATGTTACATTTTATATGCATTAATTAAGAAATATGAAACTTTTAAAAATCTGTAAATAATATTATCTCATTTAACTCTGAATATTAAAAAATCATAATTATAACATGTGTTGAGTGATAACCATTTGAATAAATTGAAATTAATTCAGATTTCAAAATTAATCAAATCAGAAATTATGTATTTCTTTGATTTTCTATTGTGAAAAGATTATATTTCTTATGTGTATTCTATTTCTTTCATTTAAAAGCATAGTTTATTTTAATGATATGAAATTTCGCATGTAAAGTGAAGTACGATAAATCAATACTTGATAATTAAAATGTGGGGTAATTATCAGTACACAATTGATCAGATTATTAGCTTTTACCAGAACTCTGAATGCCCAGTAGATAACTTTTTGTTCGGTCCTGTTTTTTCAGAAGAAGCTTTCCTTCCTTACACATATGAAGAATTATGTTCAGTTGAACTCACATGGGAGCGTAAAAAGAAGGTCAAACAACAAGTAGAAGAACCTGCTCCACCACAATTACAACCTGCCATTCGTACAAATCAAAAGCAACAAGTAGATCAGCCGACCATACCTTCAGACACAGACAATGATGAAGAAGAGGATCCAATTGATGACATTCTTGACGATGGTATGCCATTATTCCGTGCGCCAGGCTTTGCAAGAAAAGTTCAACCACCTGAGCATCCCGAAATGGTATTTCCAGAATCAACTTTCGGAGAAAAGCCAGTTGAAGAGCAGAAGGAGGAAGGTGAAAAGGAAGAAGCCTTCAAGATGACACCTAGAGTCAAGACCGCAATTTTCGCTCCAGTTATTAAGGTCAGAGAAGGCTTCTTACCCCCTGAAGCTCCTGATGTCAACATAGAGGAAATGAAGAAAGAGAAAGATGAGCGCGGAAAAGCGAACTACATGAAGATGCTCGAGCAAATCAAAGCTCACGAAGAAGCAGAAGCAGAGCGCAAGAAGAAAGCAAAGAAGGTTAAGAAAGTCAAGAAAGTTAAACCTGCAAAAACAGCAAAACCCGGAAAATCATCCAAAAAATCAAATAAAGAAGAAGAGCCACAAAATAATACCGCCGAAATACCTGTTGAAAAGCGTGTTGAACAATTTATCAACAACGCTAAGAAGAAAATGGCTGATCAGAATAATATCGAAGATGAACAGCCAAAAGTCACAATCAAAGCTGGCAAGATCATCAAGATGGACCATGTACCAGATCTCGGAGCCATTCTCGATGAAGAAGAGAAGGCAGCCGCAGAAGCGAAGAAAGAAGCCGAATTAAACGCTCCGAAACCCAAAGTTGAGCACATACCCCGCAAGTTACTTCCTGAGGACGAGTTAGTAGAAGAAGATGTACCAGAAGATGACGGAAAGAAGAAGAGGAAGAAGAGGAAAGTCAAAGTTATTATATCTCCACGTATCAAGCAAGGCGAAACCGAAGTTTTCACAGAGGAAGACTACGAGAATGTTGTTTACGGTACAATCAGGAAGAAAGAAAGTGAAATTATGCTTGATGCCGAAAAAGAATTCCAAGAAAACCACAGAATGTACGGTCAAGCACCAGTTCCAACAATGTTACAGTTAAAGCAACGTGAAACAGAAGGAAAGGTTCACAGAATTGCTATTAGTAACATTGTTACTGAAACTCCAAATAATCAACACGAAATAACCATTGAAAAGCCAAAGAGATTGGTCAATTTACCAAGAGAAAAGATAGAACCAATACCATGGATGGAGAGAGAGCTCGGAAAACACTTAGATCAGGAAGATGCAATTGACATCGCTCAGTCAGTTGCTATTAAGTCAAAGGACAAGATGCTTCAGGCCTTATCTATTGTTTTGTTCAGCGATAAGAAGGCAAAGCTGATTACGGAAAGATTCTTCCACCAGTTCCCTGCTAGATCATAATATTATTATAAATGTAATAAGAAATAGAATAATTTAGTTTTTATTTATTTTTTTCAAACAATCAAAAAAAAATATTTGATATATTAATGATTTTTTTGATTTTGATTCGTTTTATTAAGATCAATAACTAGAATTACTAGTTTAGAGTTGTGTTTTCAGTCAGTTTATGGATGAAATTGGTTCGATTGATGATCAAGAATTTCCTAAGGTTGTCCAAATTATACAAGTTAAAGAATCATGCTACGTGATTTTCCAAGATGAAGATGGATTCTTATTCAAAATCGATATTCTCAAGGCCAAGAAAAATTTTCCAAATAAAATTACAAAATATTTGCTAGACTCTATTCCAGAAAACACTACAATTAACAACAATACTGTTTTCTTCTAAGTAAATTGAAGATTTCTTTAATATCAAAATATATTTTCTTTGATTCTTTAATGTTTCTTAATGACTTAGAATTGAAACATTATAATTACGATTTTTATGAGGATAATTGCATCAACTAACTCTCAAATTCAAAGATAATTTGAGATATTTTATTCAAAATCAAGTTGATTGTTAGAACATTTCAGATAAAGTCTCATTTATCGTATAGCTTTTAATATTATTTATTACGAAATCAGATTATTTAAAAAAAAAATTATAAAAAAATTGTTTTTTGTTTTTTCTCAATTGTTCCAAATAAAAAGAAACCATTTATTCAGAAATCACAAGATTATCCGTGTGTCTGTAAGAATGAACCGAAAATCTTGACTAATCTAACTCTGAAAACTATGAGGGATCCATCGAGCGGAGGATTGATGTAAATTCTGTTGAACGGTTTGGACAACGCGTATTCGAATAATGGTTGCTGTTTGTTGTCAGTTTTGAATAAAGTTTCTTTAAATTCAGGGATTGAAGAGAAAGATGATGTTGTAATATATTCAGGGAAGTGTTGCTTTCTTGAGTTCTTATATTTGCTCAAACTGTCGCTGATTGTATCTGGATATTTCATATCAACAATAACATTTTGTGGCTTGAACTCGCAGGACTTGCCCAATTCGATAACGATAAAGTTAGGGCCATGGCCAATTTTATCGTCGTATAATATGGCTTGGTAATAACTGTTATCATCTTTGAATATGTTGGCCATTTCGAAAGTAGATAACTCTTCCTGTGGTAATTTCTGGTTGCCATTTGGATTGAGAAGGCCGAACTTAACTGCATCGCCATCCTTTGGAACAATTAATCCGCCCAATGTAGTAATGAAGCTTATTAACTCGACAACAGGTGTAGATTCCGATTCGATTGCATTCGCTATCTGCGTGGCCCATGAGAACGGATACCAGCGAGAAACTGTTGAGGAAGAATTTTGAATATCTTTTTCGAAGTGATGGGCGTTTGCACGACGGTACTTGAAAATCGATTCGTAGAGAGGACGTAAGACTCTTGGTGGAAGCCAATCGCATTGATACTTGACAAGATATTGATATGCGGTTGGTGACTTCCAATTAATAATGTTGAAGTTCGAAAGCGCTTCCTTTTCATCATCTGTAATATCAGGATTGAATTTGTGGTAGCGATCTAGCTGTGCAACCTTTTCTTCCTCGGACCAATAATTCAAAAAGTTTTGGTCAAGAATAATTGCAGCAACAACGCGGCCATCTTTGACTTCTTGGTAGATTCTGACTATATATTTATTTACATCAGAAGGAGTTTTGGATTTGCTCATCAAGCGCTTAGCGAATTCTGGAGCAAGTTTGATGGCATCGTCGATGAGTTTGAATTGTATAAACTTTGATGCGTAGGAAAACAGTACAGCATCATTGATTATCGGTTCAACTGTAGTTTTTGCGATAAAATGTCTGACAATTGCTTGGAGATGAGGCATTTCATAATATGTTGCAATCCTAAGCAAAGCCGGTGCGCTTTTGATATCTAAAGTTAATTGATCGGTGTATAAAATTTTGATAATTGTTCCAAATTGATCATCAGGATCTTCTGGAAGATTTATCTTCATCATTCTGTCGCCAGGGCAGCAATCCATTTCCTTAATTGTTTTAGCAAACCAGCCTGAATATTTCGCTAATACAAGGCTGTGAACTTGATAAGTGTTAACGCCGTGTCTTAACTTCAAGTCAACAAACTGACCTCTATCTAGGTATTCGTGAAACCTTGAGATGAGCCTCTGTTTTATACGAACAGCAGACATTTAAAAATTTTTTTTTCCTTTTTTTTCTTCCCCCTTTTATTTTCCAAATTTTGTATTATAAAACTTACCATTAATGAACATTAAGAATTCATTTGTTTACCAAAATTCATCAAACTTATGTCTATTGAAATTATTTATAAAAAGTGACAGATGAAAAGAAATATTGAAATTCGCTTTATAAATGCAATCCAAAACGGGAAACTCGATGAGGTAAAGTCATTTTGGCTCAAGCCCTCAGAGATTGACAAGCCTTTTTACATCCAAAAACTTGTTAAAGTTGTAAATAAATCAAAAATTTACCCATTTAGCTATATTAGCGAACCAACACCTCTGATTTTAGCAATATTATGCGAGCAACCTGAAATATTGCAATATTTAATTGATACTTTTCATCCATCATTTTCTTTGTCAATAAATGGCTGGTTACCAATTCATTACGCAGCTTGCACCGGAGATTACAAGTGTTTGCAAGTTCTTTTGCAATACGAATCAATACAAGAAAATATAGATGTTGGAATCAAAGTTTCTGGTTCTAAATCAACAAATACAGCCCTTCATGTAGCTGTTTCCAACCATTTGCATGCGCAAACTCTCTTGCTTTCATCTCCTTTGCCCGATATTATTTTTGATAAAAACAATAAAAGACTTGAAACTCCATTAAAATCCCCTTACAAACCAGCTAATCCACTTCTCCTTACATCTACTGGATGTTCGCCTCTTCATCTCGCTGTCAAATGCTCAGATATCGATATGATCAAAATTTTACTCCATATCAAGTCAGATCTCTCTATTAAGAACAACGATGGATTTACAGCACTCGAAATGGCAAAAGATTCTGGAGATCAAGAAATAATCAAATTATTAGAAATTGGAACATGTGACGAAGATTTGACCTCTAATTACATAAAGTCAGTCGAAAAACAAGAAGTTGACTCAAATCCAAGCGAAGTTGTTGTCCAACAAACAGAATCTGCACCAAAAGTTGAAGAAACAGCTTCTAGAGAAGAAGTTAAGAAGCTTAGTAACTCTGTCAACAATGTGGCGATGATTGTTCAAGAATTACAAAGAAGAGTTGATGCAATCGAATCTGAGAACAAAAAGCCGGAATTTGACGTTTGTTGCCTTTGTGGTAACATTACAACATCTCATTGCAACAAATGCAATAACTGTATTTGTGAAAATTGCTTACAAAATCACTCTTGTTAAAATTGTATAGTATTTTATGTGTTTTATCTGAATAAAATTGTTATATAAGAGCTTTAATTTCTAAAACTGTGTAAAAAAACTAATTTAACAATTTTAATTATATTTTGATGTTTTTTTTTAGCATTAACACTTTTAAATTAGAAAATTTCAACTAACCTAATCATTGCCTTTTGGAAAATTGTATAAGAAAGAGTTGTTAAGCGTAATGAAATTACTTCAGCTAAAAAATTGCATTTCATAGGCAATATAACGAACAAATGTGTGACATTTGAGTTGGTTTTATCTAAATCTTTAATGCATGCATATATAATATATAGATTGAGAAAAATTCAAGATAAATTTTTAAAAAAGTCAATGTTTTGTTATAAAAACATAGTTATGGGATGTTAAAATAAAAAATTTATAAATATTTTATTCTGATTCAGCTGGTTCCTCAGCAGGAGCTTCGTCATCGTCACTCTTTTCCGCAGCGACCTCTTCTTCCTCATTATCGCTTGATGATTCCTTCTTATCAGGGTTGAAGTCTTCATCTTCTTCTTCGTCAGAGTCAGAGATTTTGTTCATCTCCTTGGCTTCTTCACGAATCTTGATATCGGCAGCGAGACGTGATCCTCTGCCCTCTCCTCTATCGCGGGAAATGATTGTAGCGAAATCTTCTGCTAAATTGTAGTTATGAATTGTAAGACCGGCCTTCTTGAAGAAATTGAGGAGGAGTACGAACTCCTTGTGTGGGATATTCATGAAATCGATTGGTTTGTTGCTGCCAGTCTCTGTAATTGCAAGATCGAAGAATTTGTTGTTACGCATTGTATCAGCGTCGATACGAGTGAATTCTACGTGACGTACTGCATCGAATGGAATGACTTTGCTCTTTGGAAGAATGACAAAGTGAGAATTTGTAATAAATAAGTAATTTTGGTTACCTTTCCAGCTACCGAAGATGGCGTTGGTTCCATCGGATGAAAGGAAGAAGTTATCATGCTCAACTTCTTTCTTGTTGGCGTATTGTTCGAAGAATTTAACAATGGCTTCGGATTCTTTCATTGTTGAGTCTGGAATGTTGAGAATCTTAGCGACTTCATCATCAGATGTCTGAACGACGATGTTATCGTAATCTGTACGGCCTCTTCTGAAAGGATGGGAAAGAGTAATCAAAACGTATTCGTTCTTGGAATCTGGGATGGAGAAACGATGGATAAGACGAATGTTTGAGTATTTGATTTGGAAATTGACTTCCTGGAATTGAATGAAAAGATTATCTTCACAATACCTGAAATCAGCGTTTCCACTTGGTTGTTTGAGGGTAAGATCGTTAATTTGTGCGAAGTAGTTTTCGGATGCTGTATGTTGTTTCATGTATCCACGAATGTTTGCAACAATATCTTGGACTTTTTCGGCACCGTTTTGTGGAACGAAAATACGAACATTTTCAAGTTGGTGACCTTCTATTCTGCCTTCCTGTAAGATCTGAACGAAGAAATCGTTTTTAGATGACTGGACGTTTGAAATTGTTTTATATGGAACTTTAATAACTGGTTTTCCGTCATCCTTGATGCCAAAAGTATGTTTGTCGTGGAAGAAAACACCTTCATTTAAGCCAGAAATAGAAAGGTCTTCTTCGTTAGCCTCAACATCAAGTTGGTTTTTCAATGCGGCAAAAAGCTTGGATTTATCGCCGATTTGGAATTTAGAAATGGAGTAGAACCTCTCACCGACCATAAGATAAAGGCAATAGAAATCCCTAGAGATTTGTGACCAGTCTGCATGATCAATTTCGCCTTTTTCGATGGTTACTGTTTTTCCTTTGTCAGGGGTAATAACCATCTTTCCTCCATCGATCTCCACTCTGGATTTCTGAGAATTCATGATAACATTCTCGAACTTCTGCGACATTTTTTTTGCTTGATAAAAAAAAATATTAGATGAAATTATCGACCAAAAATTTGTTAAACGTGCAAGTAATAAGAAAACATTGAATATGAGTTCAAGAACTCAGTTAAGGTAGATTGCCAGTTAAATTTTTTGAAAACGATTTTGATTTCAAATCAAATTGCAAATTTTGGTTTCAATTCCCATATAATTTAAATCAATTTGATGAATCATTTCGATATTCTTCTTCATGGAGTTCCAAAAAAATCTCGAAATTCCAAAAATGATATTAAATTTTGAGAATATTTTTATTAAATTTTGATTTTTGGAATTATTTTGGAAGAAATTCCAAAATTTAAAATTATAGATATAATACAAATTACATTTTATAATCCATTTAATAAGAAAGAAAGGTCAATTCCGTAATTTTAAATAAATTGCTGGAAAAAATATTTTTTTGTTCAAAAATTTATAAATGCACGCAGTAGATTATAGCAGAGTTTCAAAGCGAATAGAAGAAAACGAAAAACAAGGCGAAAATGTTAAAACTGTGGATCAAATTCTAGATCAACAGACACAAACAGCATTACTAATATCAGAAATAAGATTTCTTCGAAATCAAATCGTAATTATGAGGAAACTTTTCAACACTGATCGATCTATCGAGGATATACCAATTGAATCTGAAATTTCTGAGAGGAATTCTTCAAATTCAAGAAAGAAACCTGAACAGAAATACATTGAGAGAAAACACTTAGAAGCCGCGGTCAAGTCATACCAAGATACTCGAAATCGTCAAGTCGAAGTTGTTATAAATGACAGCAAAAAATCTTTTGCTGGAAATTGACAATTGATACATGTTTGATACAATTACCTAATTTAATTCTTTGTCCTATGTAAATATATCTTGTTTAGTTTAATCTAAATTTTTCCCTATTTTTATTTCTAATTTTTTATATAAATATCATAAGGAGTTAACGATATCTCATTCAATGAGATTAAAAAGCGATATATATTTATGAATTAATAAAATTCTATTTTCTATTTTAACTGTCTAAGAAAAAATATGATCATCATCAGATTTCCTAACTCGAAATACCACCACATGATTCTCAAAAGGTCATTTTTCGAAATGGAGGATGGATTTAATGTAATCCTCCAACAGTATACAACAAATGATGGCGAACAATTATACAAAATCGCAACAATTTCAAATGATATAGACATTAGTTGGGAACAAGAAGGCAATATCAAAGATAATTTGCTTTATCAATATGCAATTGACCAAAACGTGAATGAGATACTACTCGATAAGGAAATACAAACCGAAAATACGCTACAAGCTGAAGAATCAGAAGTAATTCAGAAAAATAATAAGAGTTATTCTTTTCGTTCCCCTGATCCACTTCCAAAGTTAAAAAACATTAACGGCGAGTTTTCCAGTTCAATGATACCATTTTCAATCTCGAAAATCGATTATGAAAATGATTTTGTATTCGTCAAAATGTACGATGAAGAAAAAGATACAAAAATGAAATATTCAGATGCATTGTGTTTGTTCCCTGAATTGATATGCCAGTATTTCGCTAAATCTAATCCTCAATAATATTTTTTTTTGTTTTGCAATTTCAGATATCCATCTTGAATAGAATAAAACTTGTATTGTGATAGACCATAATTTTTGTTTTCAAAGCATTTCCTTCTGATTGATTAAATTTGACAAATTTGTTACCCTAGAATTTCATTCGACAACTATATAATTATTATTCTTATACCATGTCTGAATCAATGCTACATCCAAAATCTACAAATTTTATGGTCTGAGAGTGTCATTAATAAATTATGCCCTTAAAAAAGATTGCTATTCAGTTATTCCATTATTAAATTGACCACATTTCATTAATTGACTATAGCTTTCAATTCATTTTTTTTCGCGACACATACGATGAGTGACTCAGATAGATCAAATGCCAATTCATCATCTTCAGTACCACAGCCGATGTATACAAGTGTGTCATCATTCCCCAAACATCAGCAATTTTCTGCTTCTAACAGAATTGATATTGAAAATAACATCCAAGAAAGCATTAATTCTGCAGCAGAAGCATCAGAAGTATACCTCAAACCAGGCGACTTTACAGAAAACTTGAACATTTCAAAGAATGTTATTCTGACAGGTAACAATTCCACAATTAAGTCTGATGGAACATCCAATACACTTCAAGTCAAGACAGCTAATGCTTCTATCAGCGGATTTACTTTCATCCAGAATGACTCTCAGTCATTTGGTGCCCTTTTAGTTGAAGATGGCGATATTTACTTTGAAAACTGCAAATTCATCTCAAAGCTTATCCCATCTGTAATCGTTAAAGGCAAATCCACAGTTTTCTTCGTAAATTGCGAGTTCAGATGCTCTGACTCTACAGCTGTAGCCTTAGTCAACTCAGCATTCTGCTCATTCGTCGGATGCTCATTTGACTCATCCATCAGAGGTCTCAATCTCCGCTCTGCTACAACAGCTTTCGTTTCCAGATCAACATTCCTTGGAATGACAACACATGGCGTATCAGCGACACAGAAATCCCAATACGTTATCGAAGAATCCTCATTCTCAAGCTGCAGAGCCGCTGCTATCGAGAGCAAGACAGATGGCAAATTATTACAAGTTGACGCCTGCAGAATTGAGAACTGCGACTCCGGTATTCTTGTTTTCAACGGAAGCGTCACAGTCAGCAACTCCAAGATTGGCTCAATGTCAAACTACTCATTGTTAGTCCAAGGATCCGCCCAAGTTACAACAAATGGCAACGAATTCAACGACAACAGCGGCGAGGGAGCTGTCATTGCATGCGAAGGTGGCAGATTAATCGCTAACAAGGACAAATTCACAGGAATCATGAAGTGTGGCATTGCAGCATTTTCAAAGTCAAGCATCAAGGTTTCAGACGCCACATTCGATGACATTACAGGCCATGCCGTTGTTCTTTTCGAGACAACATCAGGCACAATCCAAGGATCTCGTTTCTACAGCGTCAAGAACCACGCACTTGTCTTCTCCGGTGATCAGCTCATGTGCAACGACGCAGAGTTCAACAACATCAGTGGAAACGGTATCTACATCAATGGAAATGGCAGATTCTCCGGTTCCAAGCTCAACATTTCCAACTGCTTCGACAACAACCTCTTTGTTGACCGCAACAACACAAAGGTAATGATTGACAACTCTACATTCTCCAATGAAAAGACCGCCATCTTGGTAATGAGAGGAAACATCCTTGTTTCTAACTGCTCGATCACTTCCAAGATCGGTATCGATGCCAGAGAGTCCAACGTTACATTCGAGAAGTCCAAGGTCCAGGATAACGAGACAGCCTTAATCTTACAGAGCACAAAGTGCGAAGTCAACAATGTTGAGTTCAACAACACAAAGGAGACATCAGTTGTTACAAACGGCGGCTCCGTTAACATCTGGAACGCCAAGTTCAACAACGGCAAACACGATCTCTTACTCATGAAGAGCGACAGCGACATCAGGAACACACAGTTCGAAGGCGCTTTCGCAGAGTCAATCGTTCTCATGTCTGCCAAAGTCAACATGAACTCACTCACATTCAACAACTGCAACACAGCAATTTTCGCTGATGACAGAGCAAACATCTCCTGCACAAACACAAAGATCACAGGCGGTGACGTACAGATCGATATCCAGAACAAGTCCTCATTCATCGGAAACAACTGCGAACTCGTTGGTGCAAGCGGTTCTGCAGCAGTTTTCGTACATGAGGAAGGCTCATTCACACTCTCAAAGAGTTCAGTTAAGGATGCAAGATCAACAGGTATCATCGCTTCCGCAAACTCAGATCTCAAGGAACTCACAGTTACTAACTGCGAAGAGTGCGGTATCTACATCTTAGGAACAGGAAAGGTGTCTCTCAAGGACTCTACTGTTTCTGAGAACGGAAAGTTCGGACTCTTCATCGAAACAGGAACTCTTGAGTCTGTCAAGAATAAGTTCGTAGGACAGAAGGAAATCGGTATAAAGATCGGAACAGACGCTGTCGCTGATTTGAAGGAGAATACATTTGAGAACAACGGAATTACTAACATCGAGCGCAAGTAACCTAGTTTTACTAAGTTTTTCTATTAAAATTTCTACAATTTTTTTTTGATAAAATTACAAAAAAAAATTCTTTTTTTATATATTTAATCATGACATTTATAAGCTATTTGGAAGAAAGTTGGAAAAATCATCAATGCATTTCTCAAAATTTATAAGATTTATTCAATATCGATTTTGAATCTTTATTGAATGAAAAAATAAGATGACTTTTAATACTGCAATATTACAATCATATACCATATGCAGTTTCTAAAAATCCAGCATATTGTAAATCATTTTGTTGTTGATAAAGCATTACACATCTACTGTTACTACAATATTGATTTATTGTTGGAAAAATATCCATCAGATAGATAAAATTATCAAAGAAGTTCTTGATGTTGAGCATTTTTTTTCCAAAATAGTCCATTGCTCACCGAGGCGCTTATTTATCACAAATATTAATGCTGGATAATTCAAATATCGATGAAAGAACTGCTCAATTTTGAGAATCTCTAATCTCAATTTGAGATTTTTTTGAAAAAGTTTAAGGTATTACTAATAGAATGTAGAAGGATATATCTTTCGATATATTTGAAATTGAACAAAAATTTTGTAAACTATTCAAAAATGATGTTTTTTTGCTTTTTCATTATTTTTCCTGATGGAAGCTATGTGTTACATCATTGAGGAGACTCTTAATAAGAAACCAGGCTCATCTGTTTATCTAGTCAACAACAAAGACGACAAGGATGAAAAGTTTATAGTGAAGAAATATAATAAGGATTTGCTTACTAAAGAAGAAACTGAACGGTTACAAAAAGAGATGAAGATTCTAGTGAAGCTAAAATGCAGCAATATTATCCGCTACTACCAATACAAACAATCACCTGGCCATGTTTCAGTTCTCATGGAATATGCAAATAACGGAACTTTAGAAGATTTTCTTGAAAACAGAAGAGAAAACAATGTGAGAATGAAAACTGATAACATAATAGATATTTTTACGCAGCTGTGCATTGGTATGAAATACCTTCATGACAGAAAAATAGTCCACAGAAATTTGATTCCATCAGTAATCTTTTTGACCAGCCAAAATATTGTCAAAATAGGTGGTCTGGAATCTTTCAAGCCACTTGAAAATACAGATTCTTTGATATCATCATTGATTTTACCAGAAGAAGATAATTTAGATTATATTGCTCCGGAAATCCAGAGGGGAGAAAAATACACAGCTAAAAGCGATATATGGTCATTGGGATGCTTGTTATATGAGATGTGCAGCTTGAAAAAAGTTAATTTGTTAAATTGCGACTTGACTAGAGCACCAAAGATAGGATCATCTTTTCCTAAGGAACTTTCTGATTTAGTTGAGGCAATGGTCAACTCAAATCCAGAAAAAAGACCTTCAATCAATGAAATCTTGAATAAAGATATTATCAGATTGAAAGTTGAGCAGATTCTAGGTTCAACTCTTGCAGAATATGAATTTCAACATTCCGTGTTCCATGGTATGCAAGCAGGTGATGGGAAGAATACCCAACAAAATCTTCTTGAGAGATCAGATTCAATTCCTATAAAGAACAGAAAAGGAGATGAAATTGTCCTTGCAGGAAAAAGTCTTCGCTGCTCAAAAGCCCATGATGGGAAAGAATTTTCGTATATTTCGCAATTCATTAAAAACGTTCATGGCGAAGAGAAATATTTGTTTCTGCTTGAAACAGCAAGAAAAATATCAACAGGAGCGATGATAGACTTTGATTCGAATAATTTGAATTATTCTGAAAAATGTACCTTAGATCTCTTATTACAAACTCTTCAATAGATGGCATATTTTGAATATATTATTAAAAACTCATTTTTTCATTAATTTTGGCTCAAGATCGATGTCACTTTTTAGATGGATTTGCATGATATTAAAGTGTTTTCTGACAATAGCGATGAAGGACAGCAAGCGCGAGAGAAACTTTACGGACTAATTAATACATCAGCTGTTGAGATGTTTACTGCTTTTCTCGAAATAATATGTGATCCAATTAATAATGACATCAAAATAATGATAAATGCAATAACACTTGCAAGATCTTTAATCCCGAAGATGGTTAGCTTCCCATTCACGCAAGAAAGAGATCCTCTGACTAAGTTTGAAGTCCCAAAAACCGATCCAATGCTTAATAAATTTTTTGAATGTCTTTTTAACATCATCTCTTCTGAAAACATTGATGAATCTATCAAAGTTCCAGCAGCGAATACACTGTCCAGATATTTTATATTTTATGAAGCATTCAGGCAAGAAAATTATTATTGGAATAATATTTTTCAATTTCTTGAAAATCAAAGCTTGATTGAATATGCATTAGATATTATCAATGATATATCAGAAGAACTAACAATTTCAAATACCATTATGCATCAAATCTTTGGAATAATTTATGAATTCTTTAAAAATCCACCGAGAATGAAAGTTTTGGAGAAGACGATCAAAATTATGAGATTATTTGTTGTCAACTTTGACTCTTTAGTTGGAGAAAATGTTGAAGAAATTATCCAAAAAATGTTTGAATTTACACAAACAAATGATGTACAAGAAGTGTGCTGCGATTTTTGGAAAGAGTTTATAAAGAATTTTCCTGATTTATTCCCAAAACAATATGTTTTCGAACTGATCAAATTATTGGAAACATCAGAGCACCAAGTTAGTATTTTAGCACTCATATGCTACATGACATTCTTAACAGATGATTCAATTACGGAGTTTTTAAATGAAAATTCATTAGTTTTAGTTAATATTTTCATTTCTTTGTTAGATTTCTATTCAAACATGGAATATTTGGATGAAGACGATGATAAACAGCTTTTCTTGATAAAAGTAATAATAGAAGGACTTGTTGATATTAACAATGAATTATCTGAAATTATTTATCAAAAGATTGAAAATTCGATAGGTAGAAACTCATTTATTCTTATGTATATCCTTGCATCAGACAATTTGTTAGATTCAAGATATTCCGATGCTTTAAAAAATGGAATCGAATGTGATAACGTTGAAATTGTAAAACTTTCTCTTTCAATAGTTAGAGAACAACCCGATGCAGTTATTGACATCGAAGGAACTACTATTATCAGAATTCTTGAACTAATTTTAGGTGAAGACAAAATGATGTATGAATTAGCCAAAAACACACTTGTAAAGATAATCCAAAGTGCAGATAATGATTTTGCAAGCAAAGTTATTGAATGTCTCGTTGAAAATATAAGTAATTCAAATGTTAACAAAAGTTCTCAGGCAATTGAGACGATAGCTTTTATAATGATGATGTTTAACGATAAATCTCTTAGTGAACAAATTTCAGACCTTTATCCACAAATTTTAGTAGAATTTCAAGAATTAGATTTGGATTCCGAGATTTTCCCTTCAATTTATGAGCTGTCTGTACAACTTATTACAAATTTAAAGGAATCATTCCAACATCTTTCTCTTTGCGACAATTTCTTTAGACAATTAACTAATTCTGCAAATTCTTATTATGGAATCTACGGAATTTATTTCATTTTAGTACACACGTCAATGTATTCGCAAGAGGATATTGAAAGCTTCATGCAATTTGTAGTTAACAAAGAAGAAATTTATCAAAATTCTCAAGATATCATATCTTCTTTGTATTTATCCGAGTTAATAATCACTAAAGTCAAAAATCCAGAATTCGAGCAAAAATCAATTGAAATATGCATAAACTTGTTAAATAATGATGTTTATTTAGATGATCTTCGGCTTCCAATAGCTAGGCTAATTATTACAGCAATAGAGCAAGGAAATATTCCAGTAGAACTAATACAACATTTATTGGAAGCAATTTATTCAATTTCAGGGCAAATAATTACATTTTGGAATGATGATGACACAGAAACAGAGAAACTTATTAGGATTCTTGCAGATATAATTACTTTTATTAAAAATAAATATGACATAAACGTTTCAGCCATTGCACAACTGATTTTCGATCAATCAAATCAGATCAATGGACTTGAAGATGAAACACAAAGCAAAATTGCGACATTTGGACGAGAATTCAGCTTCATTTAAATATAAATATATTGTTATTGTTTTTAATTTAAATATTACATTTGAAAATTTAATTTTTAAAAGCAAATCCAAAATTGAGAGAAGGAAATTATATTATTTTCGGAAGGTTTTTATATCAGACTCAAAGCAATCTTATAACACAAATTCTGACGAAACATCCACACATTGGAGCCTATTAATTAGCACCAAATATGTTATAAACGATAAATTTCATATTTTTTAATGAAGTGTATCCTCGAAAATATCAGGAAAAGAAATAATTATCTTATGTAGGAACCTAAGATTTTGTACCATATGAAGTAGGAAGCTCAGCTGTTCCTTTACTATCATTACATGCCATATGGCGAAGAGCTTTTACTACATCTTTAGTTTTTGCAAACTCGAATGTGATCAGAATATTTTTTTTTGTTTCATGCAAAAGAAGCTTTTCACCATGCAGTATATGAAATTCAGATATTTCTGGACAATTACAATATATTTCCCTATTTAGCTTGAAGCTTCCTTTATAAGACAAGTCAATGAAATGCTCTATGAATCAATGAAGAAATAATTTCTATTTTGTGTACTTGTATTTCATATTCTCCAGCGTTTAATGAAGAATTGATGCAGATTCCGTCAATGATTGGCAAAAAAATCTTGAATAAATCAAGTATCTTGATGAAAATTCTATTGTTATCGGCTTTTCCATTGCTGCTTCATCATTTCATATCCATGGACTTAATCAAAATTCATAATTTAAATCTGAAATCTTTATGATCAATGTTTTCCACATGTATAGTATAGTATTTTATTTTCATAATAAATTTAAGGAGTATTTTATATGGTAAAATGCAAATGTGTCTTTTCCAAAAAATATTAATGTCCGACCAAGACGTTCATCCAAGCAAATACAACAAATTGCGAAGTACCTATAAGTACTATATCGATTCATATATTGCATTGTATCAGCTAAAAACGGACAACGAAGAAGAATTAAACAAGATTTACAAAATGATCAAAACAGAACTGATTGATTCAAAGAAATTTCCACCTAAAATAATTATGAACGATATTTTAAATATCATTCCGTACAACAATCGCTATGCAAAGTCATATTTATTCCTTGCCAAACTCATTTATGATGAATATCATGTGGAAGAAGTCAACAATCTCATGTATCTTCCAATCATCCTGTTTTATAAAGAATATGGAATTAAATTAGACAAATCTGCCAATTTTGAAGAAGATTATTCAGAAAACATCGATATTCATACAGAAGATACAATTTACAGAGCAATTATGAATAATGACTTAGAAAGATTCATCACATTCACAGAAATAGATGGATTTGATAAATATCAAAAACTTAAAAGCAAATTATATCCATATTCTAAGAATGGATATTCATTACTTGAATTATGTTGATACCATGGAGCAGTTGATTGTTTCAAGTTATTAAGAACAAAATTCAGCTCAGAAATAACTCAAAAATGTCTCAGATTTTCATTTTTAGGAAGAAACAAAGAGATCATGAGTGAATGTTTGAAATATCATAAACCAAATAAAGAATGCATGAAATATGCAATTATTTCACACAACATTGATTTTGTTACATTCTTGATGAATGAATACAATATAGAGATCGATTTAGAAAATTGTGGAAGTTACAATAATCTTGAATACTTTTTAATTTATTTCGATCAAACTAATGATATAAACAAATGCTTTGTTTATTCACCATTTCTTAATATTCCATCCCTTTTGGAATACTTTCTTTCACATGGTGCGAATATCAATGAAAAAGGTGAAGATGGAGACACCGCACTTCATAATGCAGCATGGAATAATAGTAAAGAAACTGCTGAATTTCTTATTTCACATGGTGCTAATATCAATGAAAAAGATAATTATGGAAAAACCGCTCTTCATAATGCAGCATGGGGTAATAATAAAGAAACTGTCGAAGTTCTTATTTCACATGGTGCAAATATCAATGAAAAAGATAAAGATGGAAAAACTGCACTTCATGTTGCAGCATGGAATAATAGTAAAGAAACTGCTGAATTTCTTATTTCACATGGTGCTAATATCAATGAAAAAGATAACGATGGAGAAACCGCACTTCATACTGCAGCATGGAATAATAGTAAAGAAACTGCTGAATTTCTCATTTCACATGGTGCTAATATCAATGAAAAAGATAACGATGGAGAAACCGCACTTCATACTGCAGCATGGAATAATAGTAAAGAAACTGCTGAATTTCTCATTTCACATGGTGCTAATATCAATGAAAAAAATAACGATGGAAAAACCGCACTTCATATTGCAGCATTGGATAATAGTAAAGAAACTGCTGAATTTCTTATTTCACATGGTGCTAATATCAATGAAAAAGATAACAATGGAGAAACCGCACTTCATACTGCAGCACGGAATAATAGTAAAGAAACTGCTGAATTTCTTATTTCACATGGTGCTAATATCAATGAAAAAAATAACGATGGAAAAACTGCACTTCATGTTGCAGCATGGAATAATAGTAAAGAAACTGCTGAATTTCTTATTTCGCATGGTGCGAAAAAATAATATTCTTATATAAGATATTATTCTTTATTTTTGTGGTATTTTCGAGGAAGAATTTCATTAGAAATAAAAAATAATTAAAATTTACCAAAGTTAACGCTTTTTTTAGAAAAATATTTTCTGGGACTTCCTCGAAAAGTGTCAGATTTGGAGAAGTCTGAAGATTATATAAAAATTTGGCCAGCACTCAAAACCCTTTCGGCAATTTGTGGACGATTCCGCACCCCCTCATTTTTGAAATTTAATAAGAAAAATAGAATCTTTATTAAATATAGATTTTAAAAAACTTGGTTATAAATTACGAAATTTTCTCATTTGGGCTAAAAAGTGACAATTTGGTCGGAAGCCACTCTTAAAAATTTGTTTTCTGCATAATTCTTCAAATTGCCACTTTTTTCCTCAAAAAATGTTGAATTCGTTTTTCCTTTGTTTTCCATTATTAATTCATCTAGTATCATCGAAAACTATTATCCTTCGGAAGGATCCAGTTACAATGACTGCTAGTGAAGGAAGCTATTACATTTCAATATCCAAATTTCTAAATATTGAAAGTCATGAATACGGTGGTGCTGTTTTTGGGCAATTTTCAACGAAAACAGCACTCCACTTACTAGATAATACATTTTACAAGTGCTTTGCTCAACAAGGCGGCGCAGTTTATTACATATCTCCTCTTCAATCAACATTCTTTTCACAGAAAAATTGCGTTGCTGAATGTTCAGCATCAAACTCATTTAGTGGCTTCTTTGTTGCTTTAGATCAGAATTTATTTTATCAAAATTATATAAATTTCACGTCTTTTATACAGTGTTCACAAACATATGATATTACTACGCATACAGTATGCATATATTACGGAACTGTCACATTAGATTGCAGTAATTATACAGCAAACAAAGCAAGTCAATTTTCATCAGTTGAACTATGCGGATCAACACAAAATTTTGCCAGTTTTAATACATTTGTAAATAATAACGGCGATAATATTGTTTTTGGAGCACAAATAAGCCATGTTTTCATGAGTTATTCAAATTTCGTTCATAATAACATTTCAGATACAGGATATATCCTTAGTTTCGAAAGCAATGTAAATACCATAACGCTAGAGAACTGTATTTTCATTGCTTTGGGTAATTGCTCACTCATGAATGATTATGAGTCACAAATTTCAACCAAAGACCTTTCCATAGATCCTTTAATTAATATATCCAATGTTAACCTTTCAGTAGATCCAAAAATTGAAGTTGCAAGCACTTATAAACTGAAATTTGTAAAAGCGAAGTATTGCCATGCAGATGATGGAGTTTCCAGGAGCTTTGCCATCGAAATAACAGGAATTGTCTTTGCTTCTTTGTTTATTATACTTCTTATTATTACAATTATTATTTTCTGTTGTGCAAGGAGTACAACCATGCAGGAAGTTAACCTTGGACCTCTCAAAATCAAATAGTCAACAATAATTTAGGTTTTACCTTTTTTTGTTTGATATTTTTGTTATTTTTTTAAAAATCTTATGTTATATATACGTAAACTATAGTATTTGAGAATAAAATTGTTCAATTATTCGAAGAAAATTGAACTTTACTTGTAAAAGATATGATATATTAGGGAATCTTTAAAAAAACTTATTTGTATAAAGCTAGATTAATAAGTAGGTTAATCATAGTTTTAGATTGTGCTTGGGTAAAGCATAACACGAACTTGCTTGCCGAGCATCTGTGGTGGAAGGTTCTTCTCGAACTTAGCGCGAACAACACCAGAGTTGCCGTGTGGCTGTGTGATAACGCCCCAGTTGATGATTTCATGCTTGTCGGACTTCCAGACAGAAGCAACCTTCTTGCCAGCATAGAACTGGGCCTCTTCCTTGGAAACAACACCCTGGATTTCAAGGAGAGCCTGGTTTGGCTTGATGATTCTCTTGGAGCGGCGGAAGGAGACGAATGTGGCTGGAACGAAAAGCTTTGTTTGCTCTGTCATCGAAAAAGGCCGACCATACTCTTCAAATTCCAAACAGACCTTCTCAAAATTGAACAACGAATGCGTTTAATGGAAAAACACATAAAATCCATAATTGCATAAGTATAACAATACTGATTATCTGAAAAGTTTTTTGATTTCATGAGATATTTGAATGGATATAAAATTGTGCCTCCATTTTGGACATTGAGAGATATATAATTATTTGTAATTATCCATACATAATCGATTTTCAATGCAGTTTCTTCCATATCAAGATAAAATTAATTGATAACGAATATGTTATCAATCTCAATAAGAGTCTGATAAATATATGCAAGCAAGCTTACGCTATTCCATATTTTTGTATTCAAAATCATCCAAATTTGAAATAATTTAATGATATGAATCAATTACAGATTTGTCCTTGATATTTAAGTAGACATATTAGGAAAAATGTGATTGATTAAGTAGTAAAACAAAAACATAGATAAAGATTTTTTTATTAATAATCTTCTTCTTCCTCTTCAGGAATATAAGCATGATGATCAGAATCATGTTCATCAAGCCATAAACTAAGTTCCTGAGCTTTATCATTAATTTCAAGAGAAGAATAAATATCATAAGCAGTTCTATAGTAATTTCTGGCATTTTTAATATCTCCAACTGCCTCATATGTAGCACCAAGTTCGTGGTAGAGTCTAGCAGTGTTTTCTGTTGTTTCATTGTTAGTCATCATTTCATATTCAGCAATTGCATCGCCATACATAGTAATTGCATCTTCGCATTGTCCATTTCCGTTATAGATTCTTGCAAGTAGATAAGAGCGCTTGTAATTATAGATTTGATCATCACACTCGATATCTGTGAAATTGGCAATGATTTTCTGTGACTGTGCTACATGTCTATAATATTCTTCTTGGTCCTCTACATCAGAATTGATAACAGCGTAAGCATATTCGATAGAAAATTTGAGATGGTCAATATTTGTAATTTGGATTTGCTGCATGATCTGCTGTGCCTTCTTGAGATGTCTCATTGCACTAGGAATCCTGAAATCATCGTTATAAAAGGCTGCGATCTGAACATAAGTTTGGAAGAGCTCCTGAGTGTTTTCACCATATATCATTAACACAAGTGCCTTCTTCTGGGATAAGTAACTAAATCTGTCATTTATCTCTGTCTTTCTATCGTTCAACATCGCATTTACTGTTTCTAATTTTGCAAGAGGATCTCTTTTATCGAGAGCGGCGTTTTGATTTTCACTGAAAAAGCGCTGCGCGTATTCTTCTGCAGACTCCGTTTTTTGGTATTTTGTTGTTGAACCAAATTTCGCCGTTCTTGCAAGTCTATGTGCTGATATATTAGCTTCTTCTTGAGTTAAGACCTTTGGTTGATTCTGTTTTATTAAAAATGCTAGTCTTCTTGCTGATGCTGACATTTTTAAACGTAAAAAAGTGCCAACGATGGAGAACTTCTATTTTTTTGGAAAATAACATAATGATAATGTAATTCTAATTCTACAATTACAAATAATGTAATTATTGTGGTGGATTTTCAGGATTTGTTTTTGGAGTATCCCATTTGCTTCTGTCATTCAGTCCGAACTCATAAATCTTAGAGTGAACGATTTGCCAATGAGTACTGAACCATTTTAGAAGCTTAATTTTGTTACGCTTTGTATCTCGATTTAATTTCAAACCTTGAAGCTTCGAAAGACTTGACCCCAGCGCCTGAAGTTCTTTTGTAGTTAATTTCTTGTGATAAATTTTTTCTAGTTCTGCAATAACTGGATATTTTATTGCGTCGGGTTCTCCTTTCTTTTCAACAGGCATTTGGAATGAAGACTGCATTTGATTATTTTGTGCAGCATCCTGATCTTCTAGAATTGCATTATAGTATCTTGGGCCTTTTTCGAATTTTTTTATTACAGTAATTAGCAATTCGAAGTTAACTCGAGCAATCTCGGTTTTTGCAGGATCATCTTTGCAAGCTGCTAAAATTTCTGCAACATTTTTTTCAATGTTCTGAATTAATGTTCCTTCATTTGGCAACATTTATAAAAAATAGATTCATATTGTGAATATTTATTACCATTAATGAATTAAATATAGTTTGATCTTTCATGATATCTCTACTCATAAGTTTTAGCATATAATCTTTTTGATTTTGTTCGATACCACAATAATATCGTATTCTTCAGTAATTTCTCATTAACTTTGTGAATGCTCTTATCTATTCTATGAATGACACAGCTGTTTCCAAGTCCATGATATTTTTTGAATAAGAAGTAAGATTAGTTAATAAGAATAGCATAGAAATAGAATATAATATTGAGATAGTTGTATCATTGCAGTAAAATGCAATCAACTAAAAACATTGCCAAAGATTTGAGGATTTTGGATGAAAAATATGAAGAGCACAAATTTCATTATATAAATTTAATTAACCATCAAATTGCGACTCAATCCATATAAGTTATAACTTTAAAGGAAGTGTTAACGTCTTTTTCTCCGCCAAAAAATCATATGACTCATAAGAAAAATCGTGATGATGCGAGTGAAAGTTTCAAACAGCTTGAGGCGCAAATATCAAAGCAAACTCAAGACATAGAAGAGTTTATATCCACTCATTCCAAGTATCACAAGCCATCACATACTTTTCAAGTTTTACAATCGCTTTATGAGCTATTCAAGCAACAAATTCAGATGTATAATGAATTAAAAGAAGCATATATCAATGATACAAACAGTTATTCCGTTACAATTACTTCAATCAATAATTTATATACATATATTCAGCAAGAATTCGGCCAAAAAGTCGATAATATCGATAGCGTTCTAAAAATTTTCAAAGAAAAAGTAAAATCAAGCAATGAATCCGTCGATTTACAAAAAAATGAAAAATCATTAAAACACCAGATTAAGAAACTACAAAGAGAGAACTCACATTTACAAGATAAATTGAACGAACGCGACAAATCAGGAGATTTAAGAAGAAAAATACAATCTTTGAAAAATGATATGGATTCAAAAGAAACAGAAATAAAGCAACTTAATTCTACATTAAAAGAAATCAAACAAAAGTTCGAAAAACAAAAACAAGACAATGAAAAATTGAGAAACGATTATCACGAATTACAAGAGACTGTTGTAACATCTGTAGATACTAAAACAGAAGAAATCAGACCGGATGATATCAGAATGAGTCAACTCTCTCAATTGCAACGCGAAAATGAACAGCTACAGCATAAAATTTCAATTCTTGAGGATGAGGCTCAAAAATCACTTGAAATTTCTCAAGAAGACATGAAGAAGACAAAAGGGCTAGAGAAATCACAACAAATCTTACAATCACAGCTTGACGATGCAAATGAAGACATCAAAAATCTTAATGAAGAACTTAGACTTGCAAATCAAAAGACACAAAGCATCGAAAAATCAATGAGATCTCTTCAGCGAGAAAACTCAGAACTCAAAGCAAAACTTGATGAAAAAGATGCAGAACACGAAACAACAATTTCAGAAATGAAAGGAGAAATAGCCAAATCAGATTCTAATATTCGTAAAATTGCATCATTGAATAGTAAAATTGAAGATTACCAAGAAGAAATAACAAGAATCAATGACGAATTAGCACAAACACATGAAGAATTAAGAACAGTTACATCAGAGAATGCCAGGCTCAAGACTAAAGTTGGCGAGTTCGAAAGGAGAGCTTCTTTACTTTCAGAACGTCCTTCAAAAGAACAATTTACAGTTCTTGAGGAAGAAAATGCCAGACTTAAATCAAAGATCAATGAGAATCAACTCAAATATCAGCAGTCAATAGAAACAGCTCAAAATGAAAATAAAGAACTCAAACAAACAATTTCCGAAATCCAAAACCAAACAGTTCAAATAACTAAAGAAAAGACATCATTTGAACAAGAAAACAATGATTTAAAGAGAATTGCTGGAGAAGTTGACAGTTTGAAACAACAAATTAAATCTCTTAAACAAGATAACGATATTCTTAAAGATAAGCTCCAAACTGCAGAAGAAAAAGCATCAAATACACAAAAGGCTCAATCTTCATTTGAAAGATTACAGAATGATTACAGAAATCTCAAACAAGAAGTGAATGAAAACACAGAAAAACATAAAAATTCAATTTCTCAGTTGAAGAAAGAGAATTCACAACTTAAAGAAACAATAGAAGATCTCGAAGATCAGATACATGCTAAACAAAACTCTCTTGATCGTGAAAAATCAAACAATAATAACTTGAGAAATACAATAGAAGAATTACATTCAAAGTCACTTGAAAACTCAAGGTTACTTGAAAAAAAGAAAGCAGAAAATGAAGATTTAAAGCAAAGTTATGAAGATGCTCAATCAAAGTCAATTATCTCTTCGAGCCAACAAAGATCTATTGATAGACTTCGCAATGAAAACAACGAACTCCGTGAAACTATTGAAGATCTTCAGAATCAGCTAGGAAATAATGGTTCTCAAACTAAAACAATCCAAAAATTGAAAGCAGAGAATGAAGAACTTAAAGCCGAAATGGAATCAAAACAGAACAGGTCATTAGAAAGACTTCGAAACGAAAATCGTCAACTCAAACAAGAAATTGCTGATTTGGATTCGAAGTATCAATTAAGTCAATCACAACTTCAATCCACAGTTAAAGAAAACGCAGGATTGAAACAAGAAATAGAAGATTTAGAAGATCAATCAATGCAAAACGTCAGCAAAGAAATCGACAGACTTAAGAACGAAAACTTAGATTTAAAGGAGAAGATAGATAGATTACAAAATAACAGATCATCTGCTCGTCTCAAAGCGGAAAATGAAGATCTTAAACAAACAATTGAAGAACTAAAATCACAAATGTCAAAATCTATTGATAATTTGAAGAGCGAAAACAGAGAACTTAGAAGAAAGAACAGTGATCTTGTTGAAGCAACTCAAATTAAACCAACTGATGTTGACCAGGATACAATTGAACAATTAACCAGAGAAAATGATGAATTAAGAAGAAAATTATCACTTTCTAAAAATGATAATGAGAAATCAAATCTTATTGAACAAGTTACTACTCTGAAAGAAAAGAATATCGAACTTTTGATGAAAATGCGTGATATGATGGAAGATGCTGAAAATGGAAATAATAATGACCAAATGAAACGTCAAGTATCTGACTTACAACGTCAAAATGCTGATTTACAGCGTCAACTTTCGGAATCTCAGCGCATTTTGGATAATGAGCGTCAAAAGAAGTCTGTTAATGATGATACTATTGACCAAAAGACTATTAAACTCATTTCTGAAAATAGAGAAATGAAATTAGAGATTGAAAGCCTCAAACGTTCAATTTCAGATTACGAAAAATTAATTGACTTCGAACGTCAAAAGAGATATGATAATTCTGATGACAAGAGCAAAATATCCAGATTGATTGATGAAAACAATGATTTGAGGTCAGTTATCAAAGATTTGAATCTAAAATTGAGCGAAAAGAAGGAATTTGCAGACAGTGTTAGAAGAAGAATCGAATCCATTGAAGCCAAAGTTGGATACGTCGCAAACGAATTCTCTAGCTACAAACAAAGAAAATCATCTCAATATAATGGAAACGAAAACAACTCTGAAGAAGTAAGATACTTACAGAAGGAAAACCAGAGACTTGTTTCACTTGTTTCCAAGCTTAAATGCGAAATTATCGGAATTCGCAATATTGCTGCTCAACAAATTTCATCAAAGAAGTCATTGTCACCAGAAGAGATCAAAGAAATCATAAGAGCATTTGAAGAGTTGAGATATGCTGTAGGAGCATCAGAAACAGAATCAGCAAGCATGGTCGCAAAAGATATCATGAGAAGAATTAATCAGAGGAAACCAGTTGGCAGATGCGAAGATAATTTGCAGCATCAGGTCAATCTTTTGCGTGCAGAACTCGAATCACTTGATAATGAAATTGATAGATGCACACCATAAAAATATTGGTGCATTCATTTATTTTTTTGTTTTATATTTGTTATTAAAAAATATCAATCTGTTTAATCTTTTTTCATTTAATTAGATTGATTAATCAGATGCAGATGCAATCAGAAACTATGCCAATGCATCACCATCTTATTCTTCTGTTTATAAAGAAGCAGTATCAAATTTCACTCCAATTCTATGGCCTTGTTGCAATATATCAGAATTTTTTTACTTGTAAAGCACATTGGTGATTGAGAGTTCTTTTAAATGCTAAGTGGATAATTTATTATTGAACTCCTTTAGATATTCGTAATAAGATATTTACACCATGCGCTATACTGCTACTCCCTAGTCTCAAAGATACAAGTAATATTGCTTTGATTAAGCGGTTTGAGGTAACGCAATAATTCATATTCAATCATATTTCCAACATTTTTCATTCCATATCTCTTAATAACTCTACCCACTCTTAATCATTTCAGACAATTTTTCTGATCAATAGATTGGCTAATTTTTGTAGCCATGTAAAAATAATCGTAATGAATGAATGTCAGTCTGTCACCTTTCTATAAATGGCTCAAGAAGCCCCAGATTACGATTTCCAATTCAAGATCATTCTTTTAGGCGATAGTGGTGTTGGAAAAACAGCTATCATCACCCGCTATTGCAAAGAACTTTTCCATGAGCAAGATCCAACAATTGGTGTAAACTTCCAACAGAAATACATCGAAATTAACAATAAAAAGATTAAATTAGCTATTTGGGATACAGCTGGTCAAGAAAAATTCCGTACAATCACTCGCCAGTTTTACAGAAAAGTTGATGGTGCAATCTTAGTATACGATTTAACTGATAAGAAGTCTCTTGAAGATCTCGAGAGCCTTTGGATCCCAGAATTAAATAGTAATGTTACTAGCGACTGCCAGATGCTTATTGTTGGTAACAAATGCGACTTAAAGGAGGATCCAGAGTATAAGGATAAGATTGTTACAAAGGAAGAAGCAGAAAATGTTGCTCGTAAGCATGCTACACTTTTTGTCGAATCTAGTGCTAAATCTAACGAAGGTGTTCAGCAGGCATTCGAAGAATTAGTTACACGTCTTGTTGAGAAACCAAGAACTCATGAAGAAGACGCCGCTGAAACAGTTCAGATTGATCCAAAGAATTCACCAAGCCAGGGCTGGTGCTGCTATTAAATTTGATTGATTTAATCTAAATAAAACTCTTTTTATATTCAGGTTTCAAAAAAATTACAAAATAATTTTTCAAATTTCGGATTTTTGGCAATTTATTTTACCAATCTTATTTTTATTCATGAAGACATCCGGATATTAAATCATCAATTCTTTACATTTTACATGAATTTTCATTTTTTTAAATTTTTGCTATAATGCGGCTAATTAATAATTCGTTATTAATGAAATCAATAAATTTGCATGATTTTGACTTAATAAAATGAAAAGATTTAATTTCGAATGAAATTTATCTAGAGTATAGGGAATAGAATCAATAATATAGCAAAATTCCTAACAAAATACCATAAAACTAACACTAACCTAATGAATATCATTATTTTTTATAATGTTTTTTATTTTCATTTTTATATCATGTGCAATAATTGCATATGAAGCAATATATTTTGCGACAAATGGGAATGCTCCTGATTTTGAAATGATTTCATTATCATTTGTACTCGCTTTTAACATTATTGGCTTATTTACTATATTATTATTAAATTTTATCGAATTTTCTTACGAAATATCAATTGTAGAGCTTTTCATTACTCTTCCACTAAGTATTTTCCTAAGATTTAGACGAAAAAAGGCAAATAGAATTTCATATCTTTATTTCATTCCTTATTTTATCATAATTCCGATTTCACTTTGCATAACGAACAATATTTACTTTTCAAGAGGAAACTATGTCATTTTAAATACCACAAATCAAATCCAAACAACACTTTCATTAGTTTCATCAATTGCTTATGGAGATAACCACAAATTACCATTTAAAACCAACTTTTATAAAGATACATTCTTCATTTCTTTAACATTTTTACCAATAAATGCAGCTCTCATGGTTCATAACGGTTATTCTATAGTATTTTCCTTTAAATTCTTAGCATTCATTCATGTTGTCGGAATATTTAGTGCTCTTACCTTCTTAGTTCGACTTTTTTCACAATATATCGTTGCAACAATAATTTCCATTTTTATTTTCATTTTTTCAATGAAAGAAAGCATAACAACACAAGTATTCATGAATATAGATCATCTATGTGCATATCCTCTTTCTATTTTTGCTTATTGCTTTGCAATTTCAGGATTTTGTCACAGATTTCGTCGAAAAGGCTTTTTCGTGCTTTCAGCTATCATTTCTTCACTTACTTTTACAGGATCAATTGATATTTTCTATGGAACAGTTATTTCTATTTATTTTATTTTTATTTTCACTTTTCCTTACCAAAATTTCTACAGTTGGCAAATTGTTGGACAAAAAATATACATATATACAGTTATTATGATACTATCTCTCTTCCCACAGATGACTTACCTTGATGTTGTTCAATCTCGGTCATTATTAGTTACATTTCACAATTCTGGGTATATCTGGTCATTCGCTAAAGAGTGTCTTATATTTTTCTTAGTGTTCAGCTTATTATCATGGATTTCTATGAAAAGAACAGCTTCAAAAGTAATTTATTGTTCAATTATATTTTCACTATTGAGTTCTCGACTAATAACTGTTCAGTATCCAGATAAAAATCTTATAGCAATTGCTTCTTTCTATTCTGGAGCTGTTGCTTGTGTTTCACAATTAATTGCAAATTTTTTCAAGTCAAAGCGGCCATACAAGGTTCTAATAGGTCTAACTATATTCGTAGCTATCATATCCCCAAGTTTTACATCAAATCCATTGATAATTCGAAACCAAAAATCAGAATTATTCACAGACAATATGAGATTTGCTGCAGAATGGGCAGTGAAGAATACTAATCCATCAGATATATTCTTTAGCGAAGATAGAAACTTTGATCCTTTCGTTATTTTGGCTGGAAGAAATACTCCTATTGGACAAACAAATCTATTAGAATATTCAGGTGGAAACGTACCACAGATGAAGAGAAATCTTAATTATCTATACAGATCAATAGCGAATCCGATGGTTCTGAAAAATTATAAAATTGATTACGTATCAATTGTTGCAAACTCAACAATGTTCTTTGGAAAACAAGTTAGCCAGTCAGAGTTGTTCACCCATGTGTTTACACATGGAAATATTTCACTTTATAAAGTTGTGAAAGAAAATCTTAATGTTTAGTTTTGTTTTTATTGATTTATGATTAAAATCTTATAGTTATAGAGATTTACGAATCCTTTTTGAATAGCCATTTCGGAATTTTTGAATTTTTCCTCGCCTCATAAAAATCTGCGCTTCATTAATTTTTATCATTAAATTTAAATTTTTATTATGAGTAAAAGGACTCGATAATATCACCAAACATATATTTTAGGGGAGGAAATTCATTCTTACGATTTTGAGGGGTTCTATCGTTACTCCCTACAATACTACTATTGCCATCTTGAATCTGATTTAAAACAAATCTCAAACCGTTCATATACTAAGCCAAAGCATTATCTTTTGACCATAAATTCCTGTCAAATTGATTTATTATTATTTTTTATTTTTCAAAAACTAAACATTGCCTTTGACAACTGACTATAACTTCTGTAAGCATATCACATACGTTATTGAATGATTTTATTTTGCAGTATATTTCTATACCCTCAATTTTTGACTTTTGCAACTTTTTCATGACCCCCTACCCAGGTATCTAAAATACCATTTATCGCCTGAAAAGCACCCTTAATTTATGCCAATTGACAAAATAAAGATATGTTTAGAATGCTGATATGATGGAGAATCATGCTGCATCATTATTGGCCAGCAATATATAATATTTAAGAAATCTACGAGATTATCTGATTTCATGAAACTCAATGTATACTAAGTTTCAGACTTTGAAATTTTAACATGTTGATATGGGTGCATAGGGTTTATGATTCCAGTCATTTATTTAAAAAATTACAAAAATGAATTAATATGATGTGAGTAACAATGGTAATAAACGCTTAATTACTAATATATTATTTCTTGGTAGGAATGAAATGTTTTGGTGACATTTATAGAAGTTAAGCTGAGAATCAAAAATGCAAAAATTATTTTAAATATTACAAGCATTATTTGATGTCATTGAGTTTAGAGTCGTGTAGATATATGAGTACAATATGTTATTGATGTATATATGCAATAATTGTGAAAATGAAATGTGAATCTCAAGATGAGTTGCATGTTACTGCGCTATAATTTGAATTCAATACGTACATAACATTACTAAATGTATTTTAAGATAATACAAAAAATTAAGCTTGCAAAAAGATATCGAAATGTAATTTTCATTAGATTCAAAGTTCTGAATAGATTTTGATTTTAACTATTGATGAGTTTGTCAAACCTCTATAATAATAGAATGTAGAACTAATTAAATATAATTAATAAAAAAATACAAATTTAAGTGATATTATAAGAGATATATGTGATGTTACCAATATGATATGATATTGGAGAACTGATAGAATTGTGATGTGAGACTAAATATGATTTTATTATGAATAGGAGAATAATATTAGAAGAATTTCTTGAATTTAATGTATCTGAATATGTAATTGGGCATATATTCTATATATATATTGGTAGGTTAACTAGAAATAAGAAGATGAAAGATTGTTAATGAATAATATGAGATTAAGCGAAAATATATTGTTCTAATAGATGAGTGTTGAGATCCAATATATATGAAGAGGGATATGTGAGAGGAAATATGTATATTTAATAAAATAAGCGATAAGAGAAAAAATAACAAAGATTTATATGAAATTTTGAGTATTGAAAAAGCTCGATTAGTGATTTTATGTCTGTTAAATGAATAGATATTCTAGGAGAAAGATAAATTGAATTAAAGAAGAATAAAAAAAGTTGATTAAGATTGATAAAAATATTGAATTGTATGACAATGGAAAGAAGGAATAAATTGGTGTTTGTATGACGGTATCATTTCGGGAGACATTGCCTCTGCATGTCTCCCAGAATGGAACAATGTTCCGCATTGATAACTTGAACGCGGAAGTTTGACCGACAAGAGTGCATTGTGCACTCTTGTCGGTCGCAGTGTCTCATTCTGGGAGACATTGCCTCTGCATGTCTCCCAGAATGGAACAATGTTCCGCATTGATAACTTGAACGCGGAAGTTTGACCGACAAGAGTGTATTGTGCACTCCTGTCGGTCGCAGTGTCTCATTCCGGGAGACACTACCACTGCATGTCTCCCAGAATGGAACAATGTTCCGCATTGATAACTTGAACGCGGAAGTTTGACCGACAAGAGTGCATTATGCACTCCTGTCGGTCGCAGTGTCTCATTCTGGGAGACATTGCCTCTGCATGTCTCCCAGAATGGAACAATGTTCCGCATTGATAACTTGAACGCGGAAGTTTGACCGACAAGAGTGCATTATGCACTCCTGTCGGTCACAATGTGTCATTCCGGGAGACACTGCCACTGCATGTCTCCCAGAATGGAACAATGTTCCGCATTGATAACTTGAACGCGGAAGTTTGACCGACAAGAGTGCATTGTGCACTCTTGTCGGTCGCAGTGTCTCATTCTGGGAGACATTGCCTCTGCATGTCTCCCAGAATGGAACAATGTTCCGCATTCATAACTTGAACGCGGAAGTTTGACCGACAAGAGTGCATTATGCACTCCTGTCGGTCACAATGTGTCATTCCGGGAGACATTGCCTCTGCATGTCTCCCAGAATGGAACAATGTTCCGCATTGATAACTTGAACGCGGAAGTTTGACCGACAAGAGTGCATTATGCACTCCTGTCGGTCACAATGTGTCATTCCGGGAGACACTGCCACTGCATGTCTCCCAGAATGGAACAATGTTCCGCATTGATAACTTGAACGCGGAAGTTTGACCGACAAGAGTGCATTGTGCACTCTTGTCGGTCGCAGTGTCTCATTCTGGGAGACATTGCCTCTGCATGTCTCCCAGAATGGAACAATGTTCCGCATTGATAACTTGAACGCGGAAGTTTGACCGACAAGAGTGCATTATCCAATCTTTTTTGTCATATACCTCAACCCACAAAGACAAAACCTTACATAAAATAGGTAAACTTTGGTTTTCACTTAATAATGTTTATTTTTAATTTTTGTTCTTTATATAACTTTTTCTTCTACTAAACTATTTTACAGACTCTACTGAGCTATCCTCACATATATACCTGTGACAATAACACATATATACTCCCTTCATATTCTGATCTCATGACATATTACAGCACAAACTATAATTATACAACATACCTCATAAAGTCTGATTTTACCCTATCTAAGCGTTCAAAACCTATTTTCCCCGCGTAATCTGATTCTTCTGGCTCTGCTGATTCGATTTCTGCTGTCAGATCGTGAAAATATGCATCACACAATGAGATAAACACAAAATACACAACTTAATATTTTCCTTAAAATTTCTCTTCAAGTTCATACTGAAACAACATCTTTTTTTGAAAATACAATTTTTTCAAAAAATGTATGAATTCAAAAGTGCATACTATATCTAGTCATTACCCAACATTAATTTTGTATTTTAGTTTTTAAGATATTCATTTTATTATACGTCTTATTCAGAAAATTAAATATATTTGTGAGGGAAAACGGAGGAAATAATAAATATGTCAAGATCGAGGAATTGACAATTTTAAGGAAAATATTAAGTTGTGTATTTTGTGTTTATCTCATTGTGTGATGCATATTTTCACGATCTGACAGCAGAAATCGAATCAGCAGAGCCAGAAGAATCAGATTACGCGGGGAAAATAGGTTTTGAACGCTTAGATAGGGTAAAATCAGACTTTATGAGGTATGTTGTATAATTATAGTTTGTGCTGTAATATGTCATGAGATCAGAATATGAAGGGAGTATATATGTGTTATTGTCACAGGTATATATGTGAGGATAGCTCAGTAGAGTCTGTAAAATAGTTTAGTAGAAGAAAAAGTTATATAAAGAACAAAAAATTAAAAATAAACATTATTAAGTGAAAACCAAAGTTTACCTATTTTATGTAAGGTTTTGTCTTTGTGGGTTGAGGTATATGACAAAAAAGATTGGATAATGCACTCTTGTCGGTCAAACTTCCGCGTTCAAGTTATCAATGCGGAACATTGTTCCATTCTGGGAGACATGCAGAGGCAATGTCTCCCAGAATGACACTGCGACCGACAGGAGTGCATACACTCTTGTCGGTCAAACTTCCGCGTTCAAGTTATCAATGCGGAACATTGTTCCATTCTGGGAGACATGCAGAGGCAATGTCTCCCAGAATGACACTGCGACCGACAGGAGTGCATATACACTCTTGTCGGTCAAACTTGCAATCAATTCTGATTGCAACAAATTGTCTCATTCTGGGAGACATGCAGAGGCAATGTCTCCCAAATGACACTGCGACCGACAGGAGTGCAATACACTCTTGTCGGTCAAACTTCCGCGTTCAAGTTATCAATGCGGAACATTGTTCCATTCTGGGAGACATGCAGAGGCAATGTCTCCCAGAATGACACTGCGACCGACAGGAGTGCATAACACTCTTGTCGGTCAAACTTCCGCGTTCAAGTTATCAATGCGGAACATTGTTCCATTCTGGGAGACATGCAGAGGCAATGTCTCCCAAATGACACATTGTGACCGACAGGAGTGCATAATGCACTCTTGTCGGTCAAACTTCCGCGTTCAAGTTATCAATGCGGAACATTGTTCCATTCTGGGAGACATGCAGAGGCAATGTCTCCCAGAATGAGACACTGCGACCGACAGGAGTGCACAATACACTCTTGTCGGTCAAACTTCCGCGTTCAAGTTATCAATGCGGAACATTGTTCCATTCTGGGAGACATGCAGAGGCAATGTCTCCCGGAATGACACATTGTGACCGACAGGAGTGCATATTACACTCTTGTCGGTCAAACTTCCGCGTTCAAGTTATCAATGCGGAACATTGTTCCATTCTGGGAGACATGCAGAGGCAATGTCTCCCTGAATGACACATTGTGACCGACAGGAGTGCATAATACACTCTTGTCGGTCAAACTTCCGCGTTCAAGTTATCAATGCGGAACATTGTTCCATTCTGGGAGACATGCAGAGGCAATGTCTCCCAGAATGAGACACTGCGACCGACAAGAGTGCACAATGCACTCTTGTCGGTCAAACTTCCGCGTTCAAGTTATCAATGCGGAACATTGTTCCATTCTGGGAGACATGCAGTGGCAGTGTCTCCCGGAATGACACATTGTGACCGACAGGAGTGCATAATGCACTCTTGTCGGTCAAACTTCCGCGTTCAAGTTATCAATGCGGAACATTGTTCCATTCTGGGAGACATGCAGAGGCAATGTCTCCCGAAATGACACATTGTGACCGACAGGAGTGCATAATGCACTCTTGTCGGTCAAACTTCCGCGTTCAAGTTATCAATGCGGAACATTGTTCCATTCTGGGAGACATGCAGAGGCAATGTCTCCCGGAATGACACATTGTGACCGACAGGAGTGCATAATGCACTCTTGTCGGTCAAACTTCCGCGTTCAAGTTATCAATGCGGAACATTGTTCCATTCTGGGAGACATGCAGAGGCAATGTCTCCCGGAATGACACATTGTGACCGACAGGAGTGCATAATGCACTCTTGTCGGTCAAACTTCCGCGTTCAAGTTATCAATGCGGAACATTGTTCCATTCTGGGAGACATGCAGAGGCAATGTCTCCCAGAATGAGACACTGCGACCGACAGGAGTGCACAATACACTCTTGTCGGTCAAACTTCCGCGTTCAAGTTATCAATGCGGAACAGTGTGCCAATCTGGGAGACATGCAGTGGCAGTGTCTCCCGGAATGACACATTGTGACCGACAGGAGTGCATATTACACTCTTGTCGGTCAAACTTTTGCAATCACATTCTGATTGCAACAAATTGTCTCATTCTGGGAGACATGCAGTGGCAGTGTCTCCCGGAATGACACATTGTGACCGACAGGAGTGCATATTACACTCTTGTCGGTCAAACTTTTGCAATCACATTCTGATTGCAACAAATTGTCTCATTCTGGGAGACATGCAGTGGCAATGTCTCCCGGAATGACACATTGTGACCGACAGGAGTGCATATTACACTCTTGTCGGTCAAATTTTTGCAATCACATTCTCATTATACAATCTCTTTATTTTCTTGCCTGTCCATACATATAATTAGTACATAAACAATATACCTTATTCACAAATCCCTTAAGCACAAATTTACCATATGATTTGTATTTATCTTTAAAAGTCTTAATATTTTCAATAATTATTGAATTCTACATCTATTTAGTTTATCAAAACACTCAATGTTATAAAATCATATTAGTTTATATCATTTATCATCAGTTTTCATTTTACGCATGTAGTTTTTAAATCTCTATCAATTTTGAAATGAACAATATATTCACAATTATATGCAGTGTCAATAGATATCTTGTTGCCTATGAAATTAACAATTTTTTCAAATTATATTGATATTCTTCAAATTGTGAATTTGTTACATTTAATTACAAATATTGTCTTCTCCCTTATTTTGCATTTGACTTACATTAATAACCAAGCTTAATTTTAACAATTGATACCCAATTCAAAATGTCTTTCCAAAATTAGCCGAATTTCAAAAATTGACATGATACCACATTCTACATCAATTGGAATTAAGAATATTCCAAATTAAATAAAAAATATCAATCTTTTCAAAATTTATAATATTATCTTTTTTTAAACTGTTATTATATCATTATCATTCATAGCCTGACTTATCAAAATGAATTTCAATTCATATTGTTCAAATAAAGCATTACTTTGAAAGTTTGAATCATTACTCCGACATATTTTCCTATATAGTAAAATCACAACCGAGATTGATATATGCATAACATTTCTAGCCATTTGCATGTAGATATGTGAAATTTTAACTCTAATTTTAAAATATTATAATTTTTTTTATATATCATGTCATTATGTATAAATCAATTCACCGGATCATATATATTAATATATCTGTAATTGAATAGACTAGGCCAATTACATTAGTTTGATATCTTGATAACTTTTTAGATTTAGATTTCAACCTCAGCAATATATACTACTATGTACCAGTAATATAATGTTATAATAATGAGTTTGGATCTTCATGTAGTGTGGTTTTACAAGCAAAATAAATTTCGTCTAATTGCACTATGAATGTCATTAGTAGACTACTAAAATCATATGGTAGATTCTCTAGTGCCTACATAAGTATATGGTATATGTCACAAAGAATGTCTCCAATCAGGGAGCTGTATTAATGAGCTTTTATAAAAATTTACGGGCGTGTCAGATTCCAATAACAAAAACTTTAGGGTATTTCAATAACAAATTAAAGCTCCAACAAATTCACCAGGAAATAGAAATTTTCAAACGCGTACATCATCCCTTTATATGCAGATTTTACGAGGCTCTCGAAAACAACGAGTTTTTCTTTATTGTTATGGAAAATTTATTTGACGGATCACTATTAAGCTATGCAAATAAGAATGGTCCTATGAAAGAAGAAGATGCCGCAGTAATTTTTAGCGAGCTAATCATTGCGCTCCGATATTTGCATGATGAATGCAACATCGCCCACAGAGATATCAAAGCAGAAAACATACTTTTGGATGAAAACCATAATATCAGACTTATAGACTTTGGAATAAGTCGCATCCACGACATAGAAACAGAATATATGAAAACGAATTGCGGGTCAATTCTATATGCAGCGCCAGAGATTATCAGCGAGAAAGGATATACTAAATCTGTTGACATTTGGAGCGCTGGTGTCTTACTTTACGCAATTGTTGTTGGTCATTTTCCTTTTGAAGAAAATAATTATAAGAATTTGACCCATAAGATCGTATATAGCAATGTAGAATACCCTCCATGCCTCTCAATATTGTTAACCGATTTATTACAGAAGATGCTCGTAAAAGATCCAACTCAAAGAATTACGATCAAAGAGATTCTCGATCACCCATGGCTTAAGAAATATGCCGTGAATATCGAAAATCTTCTCAAATCCACCAAATTTGACGAGAAGGAGATGGAATCTCAATATGAAAAATATCCAACTGTAGATAAGGATCTCCTTAGAAATATCGTGGAAAGAAGATTCTACACCAACGCTATCCACTCAATTCGCTTCAATCCACATGGATTTCAACCAAAATATCGTTCTCTCCCTCAAATTGTGTTCACTTATAGAAACCCAATCAGTCCAGTTATTCCTTACGCCAGTAAGATAAGAATTCCGTCAAATATCAAAAAGCGTGTTATTATTCAACCTCATATCACCCTTCCTAATGTCCAATAATTGTTATAAATATATATATGTGTGTATTATATTTACTTATTGATTTTTTTTAAGTTTATATCTCCAATTTTTTCTCATCAATTTCAATATGGAGTGTCTCTCTTAAAGAATTTCTAAGCCATCCTAGTGTACAAATAGTACAGTACAACAGAAGATCTTACAAAAGCCAAAACATTGATTTGCAGTGATATATATTTTATGTATCCTGTACAGAATTGTTTACACTTAATGAACTATTAATGCAGATCTAGGTTGTTTCAAAGATGATGTCCTTGAGCTCACATATGACAAATAAAAATAATGAATAAAAATTTGGTGGCTTCACAATCTCCAATCTCAAATTTACAACCAATTCTATTAGTAGCAATAAATTCCTTGCTTAATTATTGAAAATTTTCATAATTTTTTCAGAGATGCTCCGGACAGGACTTGTTATAATTCCCAATGATCAAGGAACTTATGAAAAGTCTCTTCATTTTGCTCAAGAGTATAATAAGATAGCAAATGGAATCTTTCGATCAAAAAACCAAGTTTCATGTTACACAATTACTGGAGAAAACATTTCCAACCCAGGAAGTAGTGTTTTCAGAATTCCTAAGAACAGTAAAATACCAAATATCACTGCATTTAATACAGAAGCGCTTTCAAAATTTTTATTAGATAGAAAAGGTTTTGCAACATTTTATTGTGCTCGCGTTATCTTAATATTTCCAGATTTATTCCACTTACCTCCTATTACAAATGAAATTCCTGAAAAACAAATAATTGAACTTGCAAATTCCTTAGTATCACGCAAAGATGACTTTGATAGCTTATATATAGATGTTATTGCTCTTAAATCCGGTACAAATTTCCATAAAGAAATAGGAAATATTACAATTCACGTAATTGACGGAGATTTAAACGATGTAAAAGATATTGCATGCTTCCATATGGGAATATCACAAGTTACACTCGGAAAAATATCAATATTATTCAAACAACCACAAAAAGTTGAAGATATTGTAGAATTTGAATCTCCAAATCCATTTCAATACTTTTCTCGGACAGAAGTCAATCCTTTGGTCTTAGAATCATATAATTGCATCTTTTACTACACGGACGAGAAGCCGCTTAATGTAGAAAAAGAATTAGAAAATCAAGTCATCATAATTGACCAAAAATACATGATTACACTAAGTTCAACGACAGGACTACGCTTTTCAAGGATCGGAGCACTTCCAAACATCGACAGAACCTTTTATTTCAAAGCTCCACCAGAACATCCGATTCTTCTTTCCAGTTTGCCATCATCCATCATTATTTCACAGAACCAGCCAGGATTTAGAGTGACCAGGACGATAAATGCTCCAGTTACTTCACTTTTGGAAATAGAATCTGATGAAATAGGAAATCTTATAATCCAACTCATTCATAGCCTTCCAAAGATATCGAGTATGGCCAACATGATACTTAGTCCCGTTTTCTCGCCAAATCCTGAGAATAAATCCGTTCAAACTTCTTTGAATTTAATTGATAATCTAGTTGATATGGCAAGGAAGAGAGATCTTTCAATTTTTCCAAGTGATGAGATGAAACAAAGGGTAAATGAGCTTTATAAATTGATATTTAAGGGACTTTTCATGTTTACATCCAAATTTAAGGATTGTACAGCACAACATGAAGCAATTAGCTCTAAAGTGTCCGATTCTATGAAGAAACTTAACTATGAGAAATAGATTCCCTTGAAATTTCCTGAAATTTAAATTTTCATAGACAGAACTTGATTTTTACCTCTTATACTTTACTTATACTTTAATTGTTGTTAATATAAATAACTTTCTTTTAGAGAATTACATGAAAACATAAGAAATAAAGATTTTCATTTCAATATCTTTTTTAAAAGAATAAATAGCCACAATTAGAGGCTTACATTTATCTTAGACAATTATAATTCTTTTAAGTTATTATACAATTTTGAGAAAAAGAAAATTTCAATTTTATAATAAAACAATTTATTGATATGACATTGAGACTTCTGTGCCTTGGTGGATTTCATAATCATCTAATGTGACATTATCGGCGAGAACTTTATTTGCATGATGGAGTCTGATTTTCTCTGGTCTTGTGCCAATTTTGAAAGCAATAAGCTTTTTAAGATCACCAATAGTATCTGTTGGCATGCATTTTATTCTCTCTCTATGGCTAAGATGGTCGTTGACCCAAATCTCAATCATTTATTTTGACTGAAATGACTTCATTTCCAGATATATCATGTATAATTTTTTGTATCAATTTTATTTATTATGATATTGGCTCTTGATGAACTGTTTTTGTATCAAACATTACAAATACGTCTTATTTCGAACATACATTAATTATAAATATGAAGCACCATCAATTTTTGTTAATATTCTAGCAACCATTTGATCTCCGAAAACGATATTTTTTCAGTCAAAAGTGACAATTATTTTTAAATTTTTAATGACAACGTTAAATTTTTTGATATCCGAAGATCGCGGAAATTTTGATGACAATTATTATACTGATTATGACCAAGGAAAGCTCAAGCGAAGTGATAAACCACGCGAAGAGAAAAATAAAAAAGAAAAAAAGCAACAAGTTGTACATTCACAATCATTAAACTTTAGACCGTATGTACCTTCACAAAGTCAAACAGATTTACCTAGAAAGAAGCCTCAGCCACATCTAGAGCAAATTAAAAGTCAACCTAATCCAGAAACTGCTCCAGCTAAACAAGATTCTAATCCTAGATCAGATAAAACATATAAAAGAGATAACTATAGTAGGAATGATTCAAGAAAAGAACAACCAACACCAAGAACTTCAAATCGTCCAAATAGAAATCAATATTACGGCGATCCAAGAATGCCTAAGAGCAAAAGTAACATGTCCTTACAACTCGGAACGAAATCTCAATCTAAACCACCAAGGAGAAATAAATTCGAAGAATACAGAGCGGAGCCAAATGATTCTCCTATTAGTCCTGTATTCTCACCTCAAAAGAAATCAGATAATTTTACTTTACCTGATTTCCAAAATGAATAATTTTTTTTTACAGAAAAGTTTATCGAATTACGTTTCTATAGGTAGAAATCAGCATTGGATTGAGTTTTATATATAAATTACTTGAATTATTTTTAGAAATAGATGTTTAAATGGAAATAAACAAAAATTTTATTAAATATGTATTTTTCAGCTCACAAGAAGTTCATATTTCTATACTATGATCGCATCTTTTCTCAAAATTTTTATAAAGATTTCTCTTTCTCACTTTTTTGAACTTTCATTATTAGGATATAGCCTGACATTCAATGCTTTTCCATTTCTATAAAATTATATTCATTTTATTCCATTTTCAATGTTGTATTTTATCCTTTTGTTAGAGCAACTATCAGATGTAATGACAGCAACAAACGAAACTATCGACGAATTCTTTAAGAATGCTTCAGTCCTCAACATGCCACCACCAAATCCAATAGATATCGATTTAAGATATTCAAAAATCTTATTAATAAGCGATTTCCATATGGGAAAGAAAGAAACCATAGAGAATGATCTAGAAATACTTTTCAAAGGTCTTCACCTTGTTTTAGCGCAAGAAAAACCTGACGTAATTTTTGTTCTCGGAGATATGGTCGATGGCACATGTGTAAATCCATATATTGCGTACTTCAAAACAGTAGCAAGACTTCAGAACCTATTAAAACCAATGTATTTCCTTGGCGGAAATCATGACAGAACTTTTATCCCTCCACTCATAGCAAATGTTAATTTTACAAAGTTCATTCACTTAATTACTGATCCTTACATGATATTACCTACAAATCCACGCATTTTTCTCGCTCATGACGTTTTATTAAATATTCGTATTCGAGGATCAGTTGTTTACAACTATGCATCGAAGTTAAGAAAGTTCGTTAATGTTATGCGCTCAGACGAATACTTCTGTATCGGACACGCTCATACACAGTTGATTACGGATCAGAACAAAACATTTAGCATAGGTCAGTTCGCTCCTAAATACGGCAGATACGAGTACGCTACGATTCAAACAAAGAATTTTCAGCCATTTATTACTCTGAAAAGACTCGAACCGAAGAATGACGAACTTTAATACGAAATAATATCTTTACATACTAATGAAACACAAATTTTTCTTTACACGCTCCGATCCTCCATAATTGGTTCGGCCAATTTAGATTTTGTCCAAACAACCAAGGATCTATCGAACAAAAACATTAGTAATTATAATGTGATGCTAAAATCAATTTAAAGATCACTGAAATGACGAAAATTTTCGGGCGGTTTTTTGAAAATTCGAAATTTTTTTTTCTAGAAAAAAAATGTCTCAACAAGAATATGAACAATACACTCCGACAACGAAAATTGAGTCTTATGAGACCGAGTACAAGACAATTGTTCAGCAGTATAGAAAATTTGTCCAAAATCCTGAAATTAATCAATCAGAATGGGAAAAATTTCTAAAATCTGCTCAACTTCCAAGGCCAGACTTAGCGGTTCACGGACCATTACTCGGATCCGAACACGATTATCCATACTATTGGCTTGAAAACGACGGAATTATTACTATTTACATTTCTATTCCAGAAGATGAGCCCGTTGAAGTTACTTCTAAGCTCATCAAATCCAAAGCCATTTCAGGCAACTTCTGGGATGAAGTAGATATCATTAATTTCGATAGAAATCGTATTATGACTACAATAAAAATTCAAACGCATACTCATTTCCCAACCATCATTCGTGGGGGTGATAGTATTGATTCTCTTTCATCGTATTTCCTCGGAATGCTTGCGATTTCTCTTAACAACATCGAATATGGAATCAAATGGCTGACAAAAGCTGCTTTAGACGGCTGCACTACAGCTCCCCACTTCTTAGGAAGGTTCCTGATAACGCAGAAGAGGACAAATGAAGCTATTTATTGGTTAGCGAATGCAGTTTTATTAAATATAGACCAAATATGTATGATTTCGTTAGCAACACTTCTTATAGATGAAGGACTTCCTTTCCCGCACTACGAATTAGCCGAAAACGTCTTATGTGACGCAGCATCTCACGGAGACAACGACGCAATCGGCAATTTGGCCAAGCTCTACCTCGTTGGTGGTGGCCCAATCAAAGTTGATGAGGTAAAAGGCATGAAACTCATGGAAAGTTTGGCATCTAGTATGGGAATGGATACAAACACGATTAAAGTGGTCAGAAACACAAGTGAAAAGATCGAACAAATACAGAAATCAGAAAACCAAGAATCTCCTTGGGTAGATATCGCAATCTCTGTCGGAATCGTTGGCGCAGTGATCGGAGCTGCTTACTTTGGTTTTAAGAAGTTCATCAAACGCGCTTAATCTCTACAACTTTATGTAAATAAAAAAAAATTTATTATATTTTTTAGTAATCATCACCAATTTTTGAAAAAATTTTAATCACACAGTCAAGCACCAACTATATTGTTTAAAAATGATAAATTTGAACTTATTTTAATAATTTTTAAAATTTCGATAAGTATATCATGATTTAATGAGAAATATGCCAGAATTTGAACTTTCAATTAACATCTTCACTAGAAAATAATTCATTACAGAGAATTAAAAGGGCTTGGATCACAAACTAAAAGAGTTACTTTCTACTGTGTACAATTTTTCTTTTTGTATGTATCTGAAAGTATTGTGCCTTACTTTGAGATCATTTAACACACACTTTCAAAAAATTATCTTTTAATTTCAAAGATTTGAGCACCAAATTTTCAAAATATGCATATCTCATGAATTATTCCTGTTATAACTCGAAAAAATTAATAAATTTATTCATTGGCGCTGCACGCCGCTATAAAAGAATTAAAACGTTTTCATTATATGAATAAACCATCAAAAATTCCATCAACTAATGACATAACAGAGCAAACACGAGAAGAGTTTAATCATCCAGATGATGACATAGAACCTATACAAGTAAATTCTGAAAAAGAAGCAGAAACTGAGTTAGATCAACTAATTCAAAAAATAGACGAACGACAAGAATGGGATACACAAGTAGAATTCATTAATAGAGGTATGGGACTTGTTAAAGGTGGTGCTTTAGAATATACATCCTTTAAAAAAGGACTTCCATCAATATATCATGGGCTAATATCTGCAGCAACTAACTTACGAAGTGCATTACTAAAGCGAGCATGCCTTTTTATTGCTCAACTTGCAAAAGAAACAGGATCTTCGTTTGATCTTCTTGGAGATTACATCGGACCTCTCTCTTCTCTATTTGGACATGGTACACAGATCATTGCTGATAGTACTAAGTTTGCTGTATTGTCGATTGTTACTAATTCTCCATCAAAAAAAGTTTTATTATCAATTTTTGATTTGTGTAACTCTAAAGGAGCAACGCAGAGAGCTGTTGCATCCGAGTCAATCTCTATAATCTGCTCCATATGGCCTTCTGAGCTTTTAGAGTCTTCTTTTGATAAATTTGAGCAAATTATTATAAAATATTTAGCGGATGCATCATCAGAAACGAGAATCTTTGCAAGAAATGCAGTCAGAAACCTCGGCCAAACAAATCCATCGAGATACCAATCGATTTTATCGAAAATCGACGAAAGAACCAAAAAAGCCATCGAATCAGCAGAACCAACGCCAAGAACAGAGACTCGTGTATACAAGAAAGTACAAAGACCAGCACCACGTGAGATAAATACAGAGAAAGAACCAGATCAAAAAGATCAAATCAACAAAAACAAAGAATTACTAAGAGAACAGCAAAAACAGAAGCTGCAGGAGTTCGCAAAGCAAAAGAAACACAACATGGAAGAGAAAGAATCAAGAATTCCAACGAAAAATCGTTCAGAAACTCCAAGAAAAATAATTAAACAGCCATCTTCAACGAAATCATCAATTCCTGTGTTACATCATAAGGTAGAGACACGACCAAACCGTTCTTCATCGGTTAAATCAAACCATCAGAACAAGAGACTTGGAAAATTGCCAACTCCGCCAGATTCTCACAGATCTACAATATCCGAAACGAGAACAGACGAAGAGAAGCATAGACAATCGAATGTTATCAAGAGAACTTACTCATTTGATGGAGATGAGAAGAAATTCCTGAATAAAATAAAAATCGAAATTAAATCAGGTCATATTGAAGATTTACGAGATGATATTGCTTCAATCGGTACTACAGTATTGCAAAGCTGCCTGAATAAGAACTCAGAAATACAGAAAATCGCATTTAATATTTTATCAGATTTATTAGATGCTTTTGCAACATATTTTTCCAATGTTTTGCCGAAAATAATTACTCTCCTGTTGAGAACAACCCAGAATGCGAACAACAGAGAGCTCCAAAAGACTGCAAGAAATTTATTAGGTCATATCCCCGAAATCTTCCCTCCTTCGGACGTAATAAATGGTATAATGGAACAGCAGAGCCTATCCCCGGAGTTATTACTACTGGCCAATTCTTTGGCAAAAAATGCTTCATTATCAGACAACAATTTAATTCAAAGACTGCTCCATATTGTGCTTGAAACAAGTCACTCATCCGAAGTAAGTTCAAGGCACTCGGCCGGAGAGATCCTAAGAAGCATTTTTAATGGAAATAGACCCGCATTTGACAATTTTGTGAAGAATTTGCCTCCGTCTGAGAAAGATTCATTTACCAACTTCATCAAATCGTACGTACCAGGTGCAATACCTAAGGAAACTGCTTCTACGACCTCAAATCAAAATGAAGCTGCAGATTTTCCAAAATATTCTGAGAAAAACCATGATAAATGGCTTTCTGAAGTTGAGAAATTCTGTACCAAGCATGAAAATATTGGAGATTACAATGATTTTTATGGAATTGTGTTTCAATCTCTCAATGAGTCGCTTATTCAGCATAAAGACCCAAATACAACGCTTGTTATGATCGCAAAGATTATAAAGAAGCATGGAACTCTTGGATTTCAAGTAATTTTGGAAGAATTACTTAAAATCCCTGATTCAAAGCCAAAAGATAACGTTCTTGCAGCTATTTTTAACTCTAAGAATGGTCTGAAGGATCTTGTGTCTAGTTTATCATCGATTGTCTTTGAATCCCCAAATTCTGATTCTGCAGAGAGGTCAATTTCGATGATGACTCGTCTTATTGTTAGCAACACTCTGGAGAATGTTCAGATTGTTGCTCCAACAATAGGAAAGACGGCAACAGTCGGAATTAACTCAGAATCGAGTTCTGTCAGAAAATCTTCTGTTTTGTGTTTTGTAGAGATAAAATGCAAGTCTCAGGAACTCGGAGACAACTACATCAACCAGCTCTTGCCACAGCAGCAAAAACTTGTCTCGATTTACTACCAAAAGAGAAATTAACTCCCTTTTTACTTTTTTATATATTTTTTTATTTGTTTGTTTATTTTAAAATTTATGTGTTTGTATCCCATAAAACTTCAATTAGTTTTTTAATAAATACAAACAAATATGCTTCAATGCTACTCATTTCGAATATTGAGCTTTGTTGAATGTTTAAGTCTTAGATGAATTCAATTGAGTTTATGTTACAAATTCAAAAAGAAACTGCAAATGAAAAATGTAAATCTTGCAGGAAATTTTCGCTTTTTTAAACTCAAATGTGACAATTTGTGAATAATATCTTGTAGAAATAAATCAATATTTACATTGGATCTAATGAAACTATGTTTCAAGCAGCCAAATTCGACCAGAATTTTCATATAGAACAATTATTTTCATCATACTCAAAGAAAGTATTCTTGGGAATATTATAATTAGCACCATGATAAAATTTAAAGTGGAGGTTATTACATACATTCATTGCTATTGATGCAAAAAGTATAAATATACAACCAATCATTTTAATAATTAAATAACAAATAAAAATATCTAATATTACTGAGAGAACATGACTGATGAGTCCTTTATAACTCTCGCGTGGATTCCGAATAGTCTATTATCAGGGTAGTCCTTAGAAACAAAAATAAGTGGAACATCTCCGTCAATCTGTTGAACAGTGTCCATTACATTTATTCCACCATAATAAACAAACTTTAAATTAGGACAAGGAACGAAAATTGTGTCTGAAACTGATTCAAGTTTCTTTGGAAGTGATAAATACTGCAATCTACTCAAATCCTTCATGAAAAGGAAGCTTTGTATCTCAGCGATATCCAAGTATTCCATGTCCAGTTTAACAACAGTTCCAAGGTGATTAAAAACATCTCCTTCGACAGAGACAAAATCTTTGTTTTTAGGCATTATTAATTCAGTCAAATTCGTGTGTCCGAAACAAGTTCCGCCAATGTATTTAACAGCGTCAGGAAGTAAAAGAGTCTTCAATGATTTGCACTTGTAAAATGAATGATGTCCAATCTCATATAAAACAGTATCTGTAAAGTTCAGAATTTCGATCTTTTGGCAATCGAAAAATGAATGAGGACCAATAGTTTTCAATGTCCTTGGAAATGTCAAATTTGTCAAAACCGTCGATGTAAACGATGATGGAGAAATAAACTCCAAAACAGGCGGAAGTTTTACATCAATCAATTCCGAACAATTGGCAAATATTTGGCTTGGCAAAACCGTTATCGATGTTCTTGACAAATCACAGTTTTTCAGCTTTGAATTCATGAAACACTTTGGTCCGACGGTTTGTATCGTTCGACCACCTTCGAATGAAGTGATTTTTGTGTCCATGAAAACAGACAAACCAACGGTTCTCACTAAACTTGGTAAAATAATTTCTGACAAAATCTGACACCTGGCAAAAGTGAAGTCATGTATTTTTCTAACAGGGCAACGACTGAAATCTGCAGAGATCAAATTCTTACAGCAGAAGAAACTTATTTTTCCAAGCGATGAAATGTTTGCATCAAATTTGATTTTTCTTAAATCTGACATGTAAAATGCAGCATCACCGATAAAAGTGACAGATTTTGGTATTTTTATTTCTTTGAGTTTTGAAGTTTTGTAGAATGTCTGTTTTTCTATTCCCGTGATTTTTGTCTTTGAAAAATCAACACTCAACAGTTCATCGCAATACGCGAAAGCACCAAGTCCAATGTAATCAGTAGTATGTGGTAAAACAATTGTCCTCAATGAGGTGTTCGAAAAAGCAACTTCTTCGATCATCTAAATTATTTCCGAAATTTACGGACGATAGAAGTTTACAACTCGAAAAAGCGACTGAACCGATGTATTTGACGATTGTGTGCGAGAGATCGATTTCTTCGAGGTTGTAGCACTGAAGGAAGCAGCAGCGAGGTATTTCTGAGAGTTTTGGAGGAAAATTAATTTTCGCAATTCCGGATTGAGAAAAAGCGAAGTTTTGAATGATGGAAACTGTAAGAGGGAACAAGCACTTCGCAAGTTTGGAGCATTTGTTGAAACAGAAGCCAGGAATAATGGAAATAACTGTTGGACTTAAATCTATTGATTCTAATTCTTTGCATTCGTAGAAACAGTGGTTTCCAAGCTCAGATAATGTGGTTGAGAAGGTCAATGATTGAATTGGAGTGCATGCAAAAACGTATTGTTCAATTTTCTGTAAAAGAGGGGAAGAAATGAATGTTTTGAGTGTGGAACCTATGAAAGCGAATTGACAAATAAGATTTACAGACGTTTGGCTGAGATCAATTGTGTCAATCACTGAGGATTCGAAAGATCTTGTTCCGATTGTAACAAGGTCTTTGGGAAAAACAAAATTAACGAGCGTAGTCATGGAAAATGAACATTCTGATATTGTCTGAATAGTTTGAGGAAGCAATAGTTTCTTAATTCTGGAATATGCAAAACAAAAACTTGGAATTTCGGTAATATTTGTTGCAGAAAGGTCTAGTTCTGTAATATTTGACTTGAAGAATGCTCTGGGCCCGATTTTATTAACAGATTTTGGAATTAAGACTTTTTCAAATGCCAAATTACTTAAAGCAGACTCAGAAATTTCTGTAATGTTATATTTATGACCTTCTATTTCGACTTCAGGCCTTAAGTATAATTCTGGATCGTGATTATATTGTGAAATTCCGAGAGTATTATTTGTTCCAAGAGAAACTGTATTCTCTGATGTTACCATAAGAAATATAAGATCTGCTTCATTCTCATAGGAAATTACAGATCCTATTTTCGCTGAATAAGTAAAGCAGAATAAGAAAAGAAACAATTTTTTTTTTAAGATTTATAATGATATCTTTCTAAATTGAACATACTTTTCAAAAATATAGCATTTAATAAGCCAACATTAGCCATATCGCATGCCGAGATTAGAATATTCATTAATATCAGAAAAGCAACTCAGGATTTACATAGTGAAAATACCAGTAAATTAGTGTTTGCGATCCATTCATTCTTATCTATCAATTTCATGCCATATGAATAAAATAATTGCGAAAGTGCTCTTATAGGCGCAAAATAACTTGATATCAGATTAAAGTTATGAGTTCAGCATCATGCAAACTTTTAGTTTAGTTCTGATCGGCCTCCTAATTTTTTGAGAAGATATTCAAATTAATTTTCAATTTTTGCATAAAATAATTGGTTTATTTAACTTAGATGATAATTGTTTTAATTTCCCTCTCAATTTTTCAGAAGTATACTCGGATAAATAAAAATGTATTGTTTCTTATTTTTTGCGTCGGTATTTTCAAAAGTGTGCGATGATGGAGATAATCTTGTCATTGAAGAAGGTGTTACTGATATTAAAGATTCGGAATATCAGGGTTATATAAACTTTCAAAGCATTCAGTTCCCAGAAAGTCTTATTTCTATCGGAAAACTAGCATTTGCAAATTGTGAAAGTCTTATACAACTGAATTTTCCAACAAACTTACAACAAATAGGCGAAAAATGTTTTTTTAATTGTTCAAATCTTAAAACAATTTCATTCCCTATTTCATTGAAAGTTATAGGTAATTATTCTTTTTTCAACTGCACTAATATTATGACACTTTCATTTCCTGCAAACTTAGAACGTATTGATGATTCTTCATTCGAAAATTGCACTAAACTCACATCAGTAATTTTCAACTCTTCTTATACAATAATTGGCAAATCAGCATTCCGCTATTGTTTAAATCTAGAAGATGTTGTTTTACCAAAATTCATTGAAATTATCAAAGAAAAAACATTCGAAATGTGTAAAAATCTCCAATATCTCAGAAATTCACGATATATACTAATTGTTGAAGACAGAGCTTTTTCATACTGTGAAAAGTTGATATATTTTAACTTCAGAACAATATATGAAATAGGAGCATATTCATTTCAATGTAGTGGTATTACAGAAATAAAATTTGGATCTCGATTGGAATCGCTTGGAGAATATTGTTTTATGTATTGCTTTGATATTATTAAAGTTGAGTTTGATTTTTATGATATTAGTCCTAGATTATCAACCGGAATATTTGCTGGATGCGAAAATTTATATACACTTGATATACGAATTAAAATTGCAGTTATTCCAGAAGAATTCGCTATGTCATGTAAAAAATTAGTATATATTCAATTACCTGAAAAATTAGTTGAAATATCAAATTATGCATTTGCAGGTTGTCAGTCCCTAGAAAATGTTTATTTTGGCTCTCCAAATTTAATAAAAATTGGAATATATTCTTTTGGTTCATGCCCTAATTTAAAGGAAATCGATCTCACAAATACACAATTAAAAGAAATCGATGATTTTTGCTTCCATGATTGCAGATTTCTAAGCAAAATTATTTTACCAAATACATTAAAATATATTGGATATGGATCATTTAAAGATTGTTGTAGTTTAAGTCATATTAATTTTCCTGAATCTCTCCAAGTAATAAATCATTCTGCATTTTATAATTGCAATAAGTTATCTAGAATTGATTTACCAAAGTCATTAGAAATTCTCGGAAACAATTCATTTAATAGTTGTATGCAAGTGAAAGAAATAATTCTTCATGAGAATCTACATACAATTGGTTCAATGGCATTTGGAAGTTTATTTTCTTTGCAAAAAATCACAATTTGTATGAATTGTAATGCGACAATGGCTCAAGATGTGTTTGACAAACTTTATCATTTGCAAGAATTAGTTTTTTGTTCAAATAATTATGAAATACTGAAATATGTAGGCGATTCTAATATTTACAATGTTACGTTTGACTCAGACTTAGTAACTGAATTACCTTCTCTATATTCATGTCAACATTTGAGAAACTTGACAATACATGATCATAATAGATCTATTTCAATTCCAAGTCAATTCGTTCGAAGTCAAGATCTCCATATCCATATATATTCGAACATTGCATCTATTGAAAAAGATTCATTTACAAACGCGAAAATCAAAGAATTTATTTACTGCGGAAATACGACAGTTGATGGCGATTCCCTTAAAAACTTATTGTCATTCGATTCAGTTCAGTGTTCTCTTATTTACCCTAAAAACAAATTTGGTGGTAAAAAGATCACACGTAAATCAGGTATTTGCCCAGTTTATAAAAAAGGCCTTAGTCTTACTATTAAGATAATCATCGGAACAACGGTCGGAATCGTTGTTATCTCAATTGTTGTTATATTAACTTGCTTCTATAAGATCCGAAAAGATCAGAAAACTATAAAATCCAAAATGATGCTACAGAAACTTGTTCTGGATGAGTTTGGTTAAGTTTTTATTTAAGAAGCCCTTACAAGATTGTTTTATTTCATCAGTTCTGAATTCGGAATTTCCTTTAATACGAATGGATTTGCTCAAGATTTATTCGAATAAGAACAATCAAAATTATCACCTTTTATTGATGCTCATTAATATGAAAAAAGCTTTTTATTCCATTGATAGAGTTGTTTTATTAAATGTTATGTTTATAGTAAAAAATCAATAAATAATGCCTGAAAAATCGAAAACACTTACTTCTAAAGAATTCTTAGGTTCGTGATATATAGAATCTTCTTGAATGATTCTAAATGATTTGAATTTATTGTTTGTTTTAAGTGGATAGCGTCGCATTTCAAATTTTCCTGGGACAAATGGTTTCCTGCATACTGCATGGAGTAATTCTATTCTTCCATTAACTGTAGTTCCTTCCAGTCTCCATGTTTCAAGAGTGTCAGATGAAATAAAATATTCTGTTGGACAAATGGAATTCTTTGACTTTATCACCCATTTCAGGGTTGACCAATCTCTAGTTTCGTTTTCAATCTTACATAATGTTTTATCATAGTAATTGTTTATCGAATTAAGTCCAGTTACTTTTTGATTAGGATGTGCTGTATACATGACATTCCCGCTCATAGAATAGTTTTGGCGATATTCTCTACCTCTATTTTTATTAAATATACTTTTGGCCCTGATTATCCCATCACGAAATGTCTTTGCAACAATTTGATAGTTATTAATATTAATCCGATCGAATAAACTATTGATGATTTGAATGTCGCAAAACTCAATTTGGAGGCATTCAAATAAAGGATAGAAATATTTTTTCTTCTTAATTAATGAAAAAATAAAAGTTGCCAATGAATCTTCTGTTTCAATTTTGAGTTTTTCATTACCGATTATTCTCTGAAGAATATCAAATCCAAACTTTTCTGCTTTTGAAAGTAGTTGTTTCAAATCAATTTGATAAAAATTTTGCGAAACACAATCAATACACTCTTTGATTTTTTCTTCACATGAAACTTCTAAATAGTAATCAAGTAAATCCAAGGAATTAGAAGCATCAAGTTTAAACTTATCAATGTATTGTGTTTTATAAACAGTAATAAGCTCATCAATGCCAAGGAGAGATCCAATATGAAATGTTACATATTAAGTTCTGTCAAAATGTAAGCTATTGAATTTTTTTGAGAGGGAAATAATCATCGAGAAAGTAAAAAGTGATGCTTTAGGAAATATTATTAGAAATATGATAATAAATATATTTGGAAAAAATATGTTTTTTCAAAAATTGAAATGTTCATAGAATATTTTGAAATATGTAGGGAATTGAATTCGGTAATATATAATAAACAGGATTTTTAAATTTCAAGGAAAAATAGCTTTTGTGAATACATTTGAGAACTCTTCTCAAAGATCATGATTCAAATATATTAAGGAGCCAAAATATTAGAGATGAGTTCACAATCAAAATTTTACATTTTAATTATTTAGAAAAACGTATTAACCTCAATAAAAAAAATATCTCAAAGATTAATAGTTAATTTAGGGTTTCCTAGCTATCTAGAGGGAATTGTTCCTTATGATGTATATATTTATAATGTATGCATCATAAGGAACAATTCCCTCCTTAAAACGAGAAAACTTGTTCGAAATTGTTTATCATTTCGAACAAGTTTTCTCGTTTTTAATAACAAACTAAAGGCTATGAGGCACTGACTATATATTAGTGCCTCATAGCCTTTAGTTCCCAGTAGATAGCTGGGAAACTTTCTCCAAATGATAAGTTATTTAGAGAAAGTTTCCCAGCTATCTAGAGGGAATTGTTCCTTATGATGTATATATTTATAATGTATGCATCATAAGGAACAATTGCAAATAACATCAATTGGATTTCCGAAAACTCCACTACCAAGTAATGTCAAATAAAGTTTATTTGATCCTCGTTTACCTGGATATTTGATGGAATTATCCCATGCCTGAAGGATTGTCGCTTTATATTCAGCTTCCAAGAGATATCCAGTTAATTCCAAAGTAAATGGCGTCTCACTTACATTATCAACGAAATTAAATGCTGCGGCATAAATGTGATGAGAAATTTGTGTCATATTCGTCTTAATCATTTGTTTATTACGTCTTGTTGTTGTCACAGTGAGATTACTATGTGATCCGATCTTGTAATGTTGAAAATTCTTCCAATCAAAGCCTGATTTCGATAAACTGTCAGAATCTCTCGGATTAACAATTACATATCCGTTTTGAACTCTTAATGGTGTTTCACTCAAAAGATTGATGTCTTCTTCGAATTGGCCTTGTTTTCCATTAATTTCGATAAAATAGTTTCTATAGAGAGATATAATATCTAAAGTCTTTTTTGATAGTTGGAGATAATTAAGCAAATAATTAAATAAAAGATGACTATGTTTATTAAATGGCATGCATTCAGAAGCAAATTCATTCTACAGCAATGAAATTGTTGAATAACAATATGGATACAAGTTTTTAACATTTCCATTCATATTTCGATCTACTTGTGGATTATATTTCGATTTCCATTTGGTGATTTGATGGTCAAGAATCTTCCCATGTTTGAATTTAAGTCACTTTTTTTTGCTTATGCAGTCCTCTTTTTTTGTGGTGTTTCTTCACTAAATTGAAGTTGTTCATAGCATATTTAATGAAGAACATATCTACTGCTATTCAAAGTTTTAATATTAACTTGATAAATCTAAAAATATCATATGTGCGGCCGTGATAGATTAATTCTTTATAAGTTATCATTTTTTGCTCTCCAAAAAAGTGACAATTCATTTTTTTGGTTTGGGTATTAAATGTAACTTATTCATGGTAATGCTTATAATAAGCAAGAATAAACGTCACTTTTTAATTTTTTAAGGAGAAAGAAATCAAAAATGTGCAAAAGTTTATTCCCAGAATTAATGGACCAAAAAATGGGATCATCAGATATCTGTATCCTAATGACAGATCAACATTTTCTGTGAGCTCAAGTTTATTCCATCCTGCATTACCAGGTTTATATAGCACAGCGATGCTTAATGTTTCATCAGATTACTCCCAAATGTATTCAGGCGAGTATCAAACAATATGGGTTGATGTTATTTTCAAAAAATTAATTTATCTAACTCACGTTTCATATACTGCCAGAGTGGTAAATAATTCATCATGGAAATATCCGACAGATTTTTCTATTTTAGGAACCACTGAAACAAAGCAAACGATTTCAATATTCAGAAATAATAATCCGAGCTATCTTAATAAGACAGAGCCAGTTGTAATGCCTGTTCGACCAGGGATTTATCAATCAATAAGGCTAGAACAACTTGATTCAAGAGTTGATTTTTTTGTAGTTCAATATTTAGATTTATTTGGTGCAATATGCGATCCAATATCGATTTGTTACGGAAATCCTTTTGGTATAATATGCACACTTCCTGTGAATTATTACATTGCTTCATTTTTTAGTATCTTTTCTTCCTTTATACTTGTTCTCAGTTAAATAATTCTAGCTATATAATTAGAGTATTGGTAAAAAACTCCTCTTCTTGTTTTGAAAGGCATATAGAAGAGGAGTTTTTCCTTCATTATCTTTTGAATCTATAATAAGTAATTCTGCGATTCCTTTAAAATTGCCCAATGCCACAAAATGGAGTGCAGTTTTCCCTCTAATTAGACAAATTCCATACTATGTTGCATGTTGCAAAATGAAAGCAAGTATAACCTTCAATTATCTTCATGTTTGTATCGAAAAATGTGAAATTAAAAGCATTGCAACTTCTTTTTGATTAAATGCTGAGGCAATATGAAAGGTGGTTTGCTAGTTCTTATCAATTGAGCTGATTTCAGCTCCATGAGATATGAGAAAATCTGCAATATTAATTAAATTTAACGCTGTCGCATAATGTAGAGCAGTGTAACCGATGTTATCCTTTACATTAACATCTGCTCCATATGAGACAAGAAGTTCGACTATTTCTTGATTCTTTTTTATTGTAACATAATGAAGCGCTGTTCGTCCTTTATTCTCTTTTGCATTGATATCTGATCCATGCAAGACCAGTAAATCTGTCAATTCATTATTTTTCTTTTCGATGGCAATATGAAGAGTTGTTAATCCATTATTATCCTTCACATTGATATCGGTGCCATTTGAAATAAGAAGTTTAGCTATTTCAATACAATTTTGGATGATTGCATACATAAGGATAGATTTTCCATCAAAATTGTGTGCATTGATATCTGCTCCATGCGAAATAAGAATATCGGCTAATTGTTTAAAATTATGATATATTGCATAATGAAGAGGCGTTTTTAAATAATTATCTTTTGCATTAATATCTGCTCCATGGGAAATAAGCATTTCTGTTAATTCTTTAAAATTATTATCAGTTGCATAATGAAGGGGTGTTTTCATATAATTATCTTTCGCATTTATTTCTGCTCCATTTGAAAGTAGAAATAATGTAATGTCTTTATTTTTCGTAATGATTGAATAATGAAGGACACTATCTCCGTTAACATCTTTTGCGTTGATATCTGCACCATAAGTTGTTAAAATTTCTACAATTTCCTTCAAGTTTTTTTCTGTTGCAAAATGAAGAGCAGATTTTCCATATTTGTCTCTGATATTAATATCTGCATTGTATAAAGCAAGGAACTCAGTCATATCTTGATACTTATTTAATACTGAGTAATGAAGAGCAGCCTTTCCATCATTGTCTTTTGCATTGATATCTGCACCATTTGAAATTAGAATCCTTGCTATCTCTTTTCTATTGTTTAGAACAGCGAAAAGAAGAACGGAATTTCCTTCGATATCAATCGAATTGACATCTGCTCCATTTGAAATAAGCATCTCAACTATATCTTGATTATTCATTAATACTGCAAAATGAAGAGCTGTTTTCCCATTGTAATCCTTAGCATTGATTTCTGCTCCATTTGAAATAAGAAGTGCGGCGACATCAATTGCATTATTTATTGCTGCAATGTGAAGTGAGGATTGCATGTATTTATATTTTGCATTAATGTTTGCATTGTGAAAAATAAGAACTTCGCCAAGAATTTTACAATTAAATTTTGCTGCATAGAATAAAGGCGTGAAACCATTATCATCTCTGGCATTGACATCAACACCGTGTGAAATTAGATATTTTGCTATTTCTCCATCATAGTTATATAAACTTGCTGTATGATGGAGAATTGTTGCTTCTACGTCATCTTTGGCATTGATATCAGCTCCGGATGAAATAAGTAAATCAAATAGATCTTTTCGGTTGAAAAATGCAGCGTAATGAAGAGGAGCTTTGCCATCCTCAATTTTTGAATTGATATCTGCACCATTTTTAATAAGAAATTTTATTAATTCTGTCCTAACATTAGTGATTGCATGATGAAAAACAGTATGCCCATTATTGTTTCTTTCATTTATGTTAAAACCTAATGAAAAAATGTATTTAAATATCTCAACATTTTCATTAGTTCCTGCATAAAAAAGAATAGATTGTCCTTGATTATCTTTTGCTTTTATATCTGCCCCACTAGAAATAAGTTGTTTCACAACATCAATAGTATTTGATTCGCATGCAAAATGAAGAGGTGTTACCCCATAGATATTTTTAGGGGAAATGTCTGCACCAAGTGCAATTAAAAGTTGAACAATTTCCTTACTGTTTTTTAAGGCCGCAGAATGTAAAGCTGTGATACCATTCCTAGATTTCGCATTAATGTCAGCTCCAATTCCAATAAAATATTCACAAAGTGATGATATATTAAATAATGGCGAAGCAATAAAACATTTGTTAATGTGATTTGTTAGATCCAAATAAACAAAAAATGCTTGAAGATTGTAAAAATCAATGCAATCATTAACATCAATATCAATTCCATATTCATTAACTAAAAAGTTACAAAATCAATGTTGTGTGATGCTATTGCATATTTCATGCATTCTTCATCCGGGTCATGCTCTTTTAAACATTCGCTCATGATATCAGGATTTCCTCCCAAAAATGAAAATTGAAGGCATTTTGGAGTGATTTCTGAATTGAATTTTGATCTTAATAACTTGAAACATTCTACAGCTCCATGATAACAAGATAATTCAAGCAATGTATAGCCTTCTTCTGATTCTGGATAAAAATCACTTTTCAATTTTTGATTTTTATCAAATCCTTCTCTTTCTATAGATATTATAAATAATTCTTTGTTGTCATCCATAATAGCCTTAAAAATTGTATTCTTTTGATGAACTTCGATTGAATAATTTTCAGAATCGTAAAATATGAGCCTGGGTTCTTTTTCTTCACCAATTGTAATGCAAAATTCCTTCCTCAAAAAGTATTGAAATATAGTGGATACATCTTTTGTTGAAATCTGCGGATATTTTAGATAAAACATCTTAAATATGGATAGATATGATCGAAAATATCTATTATTGTATATAGATGCAGTTTGTATTAATGAAAGAATCCGAAATGGTGGATACTTTATGGATTCAATAAGTTGATTATCTAAATCAATAAAGACTTTGGAAATTGCTGATTCAACATCGGTGTTTATTCTGTATAGTGCTCTAATGATGAGCTCATTATAGTGATACATAATGAATTTATGAAAAAAGTGAATAATATAAATATATTGTTTTAACTTTGTTGATTAACAGGTATTAAATATGATACAAAATATCCTTTTGAATATTTTATTTGGTAAATTGGCGCCAATTTTTGAAAAGTTTACATATAGTTCAATTTTTAAAAAAAAACAATGTCACATTCGAAAGTTATAACAAAGTATTTTAATTCAAAAAATTCTGAATGCTTCATTTAAAAAATTGAGATGGACATAGTTTTCCAAGACTAATTTGCTCTGTAATATGTCAGTTCTCTTAATGATGAATTGCTAAATATACTTTAATACTAAATCTACTACTAAATTTAGCTATATGAGATAAATTAGAGATTCCGATGTTTATATTAGTGTTATTTCGTCTTGAAAATTAGATAAAAATTATATCTATATAGAATTATAAAGCTTTCATTTATTATAGTAGAAGTATTTTTCTTATTTTGTTTATTTTGAAATTTATTTAAGTGAGTATTTAATAATGAGCCAAGTTGTTAATGGGATTGAAATAATATAGGCGTTAAATACTATTTACAACACTGAAAATTGATATGAAGCACTGATGAAAATGAATCGATAGGAGTTAGCAATAGCATGAGACCTAAATGACAAGCATCACATAATATTTGTCAGTTGTGTTACTTTTATCATGGTATGCAATTATCAAATTTTGAGATTTTAACACTTCTACCGAGGAATGCCATGGCAGATATGATTCTGTTTGAAGAATATATCTTTTTGCTTATGGCTGATAAGATTTTATTCATTTATTTCCTCAAAAACGCATAAGAGCAAGATTCGATTTTGATGATTGTCACCGATCGATTTTTTGTGTAAAAATATTTTCAAGCAGCTTGTTGAAATTGTAATTACTAGGTTATAAATCGAATTAACAAAACTATTTGTTAAATCGGTGGATATCACGAAACGCAAGAGTAATATGAACGATCCTATCACATCTCTATCTATTTCCTAGTATAATCAAATGGAAATGCACGGTTAATTTGGGATTTTGACCCAATCCTTAACATCATTGTTCTTATATTTGATCAAAAAGTAAGAATTTTTGATCCCTCTTAGAAATTTGTGCTTGATGTCAATGTAAATATAGCCATTGTACCAAGCAAAAAGCAAAATTTTAGTATATGCAGATTGAGGCTTTCCCCAGAATTTACTAATATCAGACTCCGAACATAATAGGTTTTCCTTTATTATTAAATATGTAGTTTCAGCATACGATCTAAGGTCAAAGTACAACAGACCAATATAAAATTAAAAGAGGCCAAACTCGCATGAAAAAAAAATTCACAAAACTTTTCAGAGAAATAATCTCTAAATATGTTATTAATACATTTTAGTAGAAATGGAAAATCATGTAAAGAATTTTTGAGTTTTCAATGCTGATTGTTAGATTGATTTTCTTCCTCTCAAAAAAAAACTTTTCTTTTTATCCAAAATAAAATTGACTCTCAAATTCTGATCGATCAGCCATCCATAACCTATTCACTAAATATATTTGGATAACTTCTCGCGCCTTGAAAAACAAAAAATTGAGCCAAAATTTTTCACGGTTTTTTGTTTTTCCCCTATCGTCATTGATATTCGTCAATATAATTTCCAATGGCCCAGTGTGAAGTTGGTAGTCCGTCTTTTAATCTTTCTCAGCTTACTGATTCGGCCTTGGTGTCAAGTATATGTAGCCCATTTATAGGGATGGAAATTAACAAAGATGCTTTTTGCATTTCCTTTCTGACGAAGTCGTTGCTTCCTCGCATTAAGGATAAGATAAAAGAGATCGATACTGAGTCATTCAAGTTTATTCCCGAGATGGCAAAGCTTACAATTGATAATTTCGGCGATGAAGGATTACAAATCATCCACACCTCAGTATTATCAGAGATAATTAATGCAATACATCTTTCCGGAACAAAATACACATCTATTTACATAGACCTCTATCGAGATACGGCATGCAGAATTCCATCTAAATATCGCGACCAATACGTTGCAAAACAGATCAAAACTCTCGCCGTATCGAACGATTACAAGGATCGTACCCTTGCAGCTACTCTAATCCCGATCGTTAGCAACACAGAGCTTGTTGTTGCACAATTCCATACTTTGAGCCTCGATCGTGTCGATTATGTCTGCGCAGCCATCGTCGATATTCTTCCTAAGTGCTCACTCGATGAGAATGTAGTTAGCTACGTCCTTACAAATGCTGCTAACGATAACAGCGAGATTGTCAAGCAAAGAGTTGCAGATGTTTTCGGATGTATCGCGCCGAAAAATCTGGAATTATTTGCACAGGTATTAAACGATGCAAGTGCTGGACGCTTCGCTGTAAGGTCGATTCCACAAATTGCCGTTGCGAATGGAATTTCGGCTATCGAAAATTTATTCAAAGTTGCAGCAGATAATTACCCCGTAGAGTCTGGTGCAGCCTTATTTGATATGGTTAAGGGTGCTTCGAAAGAAGACCAGCCTATATTAATACAATTTACGAAAATGTTAATCAAAAACGTTACTTTTGTATGGCACTTATACGAACTTTCCGAATTGTTCGAAGATAAGGAGCCATTTTTCGAGTTCCTTTCACCAGCCAAGGCCAAAGATTGGAGACTCAGATACGCATTACAAATACAGACACAGAAATTCATTCCTATTTTTGGAGCCCGGCTTCTTAACTACGTTCTCAGATATAGCGGCGACCTTGTCGCTATCATCAGAGATGGTTCTGCGCCGCTATGGGCGGAACTTATTCCTTACGGTCAAGCCATAGTAGATAAATTATTATGGCTTTCTACTAAGGGATTCAAAGCGAGAATAATTGTCACTAAAGCAATTGTTCTCTACGGAATTAAGCCAAAATTTATGGACCTTGCCAAAAAATTTGCGGTTGATCCTGTTTCAAATGTTAGATATTGCCTCGCATCGCGTCTTGCGGAGCAAAATGAAAAGGAATTGTTTCAAGAATTGTTTGGAAATAATAATGATCCTGATATCAAAGCTCTCAAAATGTTATAAACTATCTATTTGTTTCGTTTTTATATAATATTTAACATTATTTTTAAAGAAAGTAAATTAGAAAACAATATTCATAATATATGGACTAAGTCTATCAAAATTCTCATTGGTAACTTCAGTTAAATCGTCTATCGAAAGAGTAGTAATGTCAAATGGGCATTTTATACGCCCAGTGACTATTTGAAGCCATGTATTTTTATCGAGGACAAAACCGTCGCGGTTAACCATTGGAGTTCTCATAGGTAATCCTGTAACCATATCCTTTGCTCCTAAAGCCAAGTTTATGGACTTTTGCTCTTTTTCGTTTTTCGGAGTATCTGAAGAGCACGAAGACAATATTCCGAGATTCATATCGGCAGATGGTTCACTAATAACCTCCTGCGTCTTGTTCAGTTGTTTTTCTTGATATTGTCGCCTGGAGATAATTGGATCATCATCTTCCAGTAAAATATTTGAAGTAATTTCTAGTTTCTCTGTTCTATTTCGAATTTTTGGTTTTGAAGGAATTGTCTGATTTGTAGATCTGGAAATTATTTGCGCTTTTGACTGCCCGGCATTTTTGATACAAGCGACTACGATATCGAAAGCTTCTTTTCTGAGATATTCTAGTATTTGGTCTTTTGGAATATTCGGAATTTCCGGCTTTGGACGATCTTTAAATCGTAACGGATCATAATCTTTTTTATAATGCGAAGCACAAGTATAACCAAATCTTTTTTGTGTGGCAGCAAATATACCCCAATGTTTCTCTGCGATTCCAAATGCTTTGAAGAGTTGTAAACGATCGTGGAATGCGATTTCTTCTTCTTCTGACCAGGGACCGAACATAGGTTCCTCTCCAGGAGGTCTATTTCGATAAAAGAATGCATTTGGGTTGTAGTACATTACCCTTATGGCACTCTGTCTGCATGGCGAAATCTCATTCCAATCTTTTGTTTTCAAATGGAATGGTAAAACTTCCAAATTACCTCCGCTTTTGATATATTGTGGTACAGGTTGTGGATCATATCCACAACGCTCAAATCCAATCCATATTTGCTCCGGCGTATACCCAGGTAACTCTTGTTCTAAATATTCTGCAGATGAGCTTATAACCAGCAAATCCTGTTCAAGAACTTCTGGTACTTGAATCATTGCAATTGGGTATATTTTGCTATATTCAAATTCTAAACTACATTTGCATTCACTCATCAAAAAATTGTAAAATAAAAGATGTTTGGGAAAAAATTCAGTAAATGTAAATCTTTCAAATATTTAAATTGACCACTTCTCAAATCGTTATGTTAAGGGTTATCAATTCTCATTCTCAAATTTTAACAACATCCGCAATATAATGAATATGATAAAATGATGATGTTTTGGACAATATTTAAATTTTGAATATGTGTTTCAATTTTTTTGTCATTTTCTAAGTACTTTGTTAGATTCTTTTTTCATCTTTCTCAATTTTTTTAATTGCAAAGTCTCATCACACTTTTCAATGCTCGATTTTTAAAAACTGTTTAAAAATGGAGCTTATATTGAAATAGTGTAGAGACTAAAAACTTCCCAGCCAAAGTAATTATTTGAAAATACTAGCTACATTTTTAAAATCAATAATTCGCCATTTAATTTAAAGAATATTGTAAAATTTCCTTTTTCAATTTGTTAGTGGGCGTAAAATAACTTATTAATGATGAAAAAATGATCACTTATTAATGTGCAATTTCATCTTTAGTCAAATCAACCATTACTCCTTATAACAATTATCGAAAAAAATTAAAACATGAAATTGCTATAATATTTATTCAAATTTGAGACTTGAAAGCAATTTTGTCTTTGTTCCTTTGATAAAAGCTATAAAATATTGACTCTTATTATTTTCAGAAAGGTGACCAAACTATTTTTGAAAGTCCGCCATAACTTTAATGGTACTATTTCAGCGTGTACAATGAATACAAAAATTCTAAGAGTGCCACATAAAATAGTACTTTAGACTTGAGTTAATGCTACCAAGCAAATGTTAAAAAGATGACTTTAGTGTTTTGATAATCAAAGATTAAAATCATTATTGTCTAAATCAATAATCATAACGACAGAAGTTAATGTTTTTTCATCAGTGCTTTAAATCCACTTTTAAAAGTATACCTCAAAAATCAAAATATCAAAAAAAATTGGCCGATAGGTTTGGCTTTAATTTTTGTCTGCTTTTATGATTTGATATGGATGTTATAATTTTAAAAGTTGAGCCAAATTCACCAATAGATTTTTGAGATTTGCAAATACTCAATAATTTTCAGCGTGTTATCTTTTATTAAAAGAACTATTTGGTTTCAGTATCATATAAATTGATATTTACTTTCTATTTGAACCTTCATTTAGCTAATGATTTAGTAATACAGATTTCATCTAATCCTTATAAGAGAATTTTGAATTTGTTATAATAAAAAAACAAACAGATATAGCTTACACTTCTATAATAAAGATACCTTTTATAGAAATCAGTATGAAATGTGTTTTTTGACACGTAAAGCTCTCAATTCATTATAACATGTTTGTCGATTTTTATATATTTTTCGCTTTCATTATCTATGATATTAAAAATTATGTCATCAGAATGTGAAATAATTAAACAAATGCCCTGCGGGAAGTATTTTATACTAGAATTTATAAAAAAAATCACTGTACGTTTAGCCTACTGGTTATGTCGTGGGGTTCAAAGGCAATATGTTCAAATCAGTAAGCACCCAGTTTTTTTTTTTTATTTTTTTTAACAAGGTGAATATAACTTTTGATCGAAATCAATGAGTTACATGAATTATCATTTATCTAACTACAATTAAATTGTGAAAATATACTATCCAATATTAGCGTTTAATAAAATCAAAGATTATTGACTTATATTTTGAAAGTAATCTAAGCAGAATTTAGATATCCAAATTCTAAATATCTTCATGCTTAGATGCTAGATAATATATTCTTATTTGAAAAATTTATAATGTTATTATTTTCTTATTTGATATTTACTACAAGCAGAAAAGCATTTATATTGTAAATTAACAGATTATGATAATTATACTCGTTTTTATATGTTCTTAATGAAGAATATCAAACGTATTTCTATGAGTTTTAAAAAATGAAAAGTTTTAATATGGCTAATATATTTATTATCATTAATAGAATAAAAAAGTTTTTTTCGCATATCACTCGATGATTTACCTTCGAGTTTTGATAAATTTCGAAAAAATTTAAGGAATGCTCTTTGAATTTCTTTACCTATAAGCATATTATCTGCCGTATTATTTTTCGCTAATTGTAGAATTTTATTTAATTTTAATAATTAACCTTCTAAGCTTATTGAGAGATCACATTGTATATTTGATACGTAGTACATATGCTAAATCTGTGAATTAGATTGTAAGATATTGAACAAACGTTCTTAAACATTTTAGATTTTAGGGAATTACTGAATTAAACTATATTTCTTATATGATATCTTCATGTTTGGATGCTTTGGGTATAATTTATTGGGCTTTTTCTATCCAAATGTTTGGCAATGGTAACCCAATTTCTAACAAATTTATGATGGAAAAATTTATGACTTTTATGGAGCCGAAAAAAAAGCATAGAATGAATAAGACTATTAAAGATAAGCTGTAATTTGATTGTGAATTTTAAGAAAAGAATTTGGATTAAAATTTGAAATTCTTTTTTTTTGAAAATTAGCCGATGATATGCTTAAGCTAAAAATTACTAGAAGCGGTGTGATATAATTTATATAAAAAAACTCATAATTGCCATTATTATTGGTACATATAAAGTCAAATTATAATTTGCAGTTATGCTTTAATCAAAATCTATATTGAAACGCTTTGTCACATCCATTAAAAAGGCTGTCGCATATAAATCCAAACATTTGCTTGGTATGTACTTTTCCATTTTAACGTCCTGATTGATATAAGCATGTTTTACACTTTAAAATAGTAATTATGACAACCTGTACACCATAGAAGTAGACTATAACAAGAAAAATTAGATTGACATCGAATAATTTCAAGATTTAGAAACAATTTGTAGCTTTCTCAATTATCTAGAGTTAAAATTAATTTATAATGAGGTCATATATTTTAATTATCTTGTAATAAGGGTTTCGTTTTGCGAAAAAAACGTACAATACGCAATTTCGCTAAAAAAACATTTAGCTAGCAATTTCGACCTTTGACTCCACTCAAGACGTCACTTTTTTAATTTTGCGGTATCATATTTTTTGGAAAATCTTTATGAATATTATATAAAAAGTCTCTTTAATATCTATATTTCGTATTTTTATCGATTTTTAAAGTTTTTGCGAAAAGTATTCAATTATTTTTGCTATTTGGTCGGGTAAATGTCAGATTTGCGACATTTTCTGATATGATATTCAGATTCTACGTTGATAATAATGCTTATAGAACCCTCTTGCTATTGTGTCAAAATTGCGAAACCGATAGCAAAAATATCTCGCAATATCAAAATTGAGATATTGAGTGAATTATGCATTATAGAGATTAAAAATCTGATTTGTGAAAACATCTCATCAGTTTCTAGCTAATTCAAAAATCTTTACTATCTTATTCGATTAAAATGAAAAGGGAATAGTTTCATTATGCTTTAAATGACAGCCTTATAATATAATCATAGTTTTCGCTCAATATGCAGCATTTTTTTTTTCGAAATCTATGGTCAATATCCTAAATACTGATTGCTTTGCATTCATATCTCTTACATTTTCTATACCCACATCACTATTCATTGCTATTCCTATCTTTTTCATTTTTGTTTGTTTCTCATAATTTCTCAAAAAACATGATAACTTGATATTTGTAAATACCATACTTTATAACGTAAATAAGAACATGACTTATTAAGAAAAGCAGTAATGAAAAGAAAATCTGAAATTCATAAAAATTACAAGTTTCTGATGACAATTAGCTTAATTAAACCAGGTACAAGATTATATAATTGTATTTTCTATCCAATTATCCATATAATATCTTATCCAGAAAAAATAACTTGATAGTAGTAGGATATGATGGGTTTTGTGACTTTTTTTGTTACATCTATATATAGACGATGCATTAAAATATATTTATTTATAAACCATTAAAAAAATTAAAGTTATTTTTAAAATAATTTATTTTTTTATTCTTACATAAATGACCCAACAAGTAAAACCAGATAAAATAGATTATCGAATTTTAGAGGATGGTGTTCCTGTTTATATTCAAAGATTTAAAGGGAAGCAATATTATAGAATTGTTAATCCTGAATACATAAAACATTTATTTAAAAAGGAAGACTGTGAATTATTAAACGTTAATGAATATGAAAATACTAAATCAAAACTGAGATATAAATATATTGGAAGTGATGAAAGGTGTAAAGATAAAGATAAAGTTTATTCAGTTTCATATAATAACTGGCACACGTTAGGGATAAGAAAACATTTAGGAGATTATGGGAAATGTTCTGAATTCTTTAAATCTAGTATATACGAGAGTGTAAAAGAAATTAGAAATAATTATTTTCATGAATAAAAAATAAACTTTAAAAATTCATGTCTTACGAAAAATTCAAACTTAGTTATGTTTATTATTTTATTTTTTTATTTTGTATGAAATGAGCGTCAAAACTAACAACGTTAAAAAATTAGGATTCACAAACGAGGAAATAAAGGATATATTAGAGGAGGTGGGTTATGAATTTGATAAATATTATTTAAGAAATTGTAAAAAATTCGCGGAGTTATTAAATGATTTAGATTATGATGGAAAAATGAATAAAGATGATGTTATAAATTTCTTATATCCCACATCTGAAGAAGAAAAACCTAAAGAACCTGATGTTTTCCCTGAATATTATGAAGAACGGATTAAAGATGATGAATACAATGAAATTGAAAGACTGAAAAAAATAAGAGATGAAATAGATGAAAAAATTAAGGGATTAAGAGAAGTTGAAAAATATAATGAAAATGAAGTAGAGGGTTTAATGAATATCCCAGCTTCAGAATCAGAAGTTCAGAAATCTCATGAAGAAAGATATAAAAATTATGTCTCAGAATCAACACAAAATTTATTAGATGGTGAAATAGACGAAACACTTTCAGAAGAAGGTACTAAATTTATTCGTAAACATAAGTTACAATTTATTGATAATGAAGAATACCCCTG